GTCTTTCTAGAGAGAAACAGGAAAATGAAATTACTTTGGGTTCGAATATTTTTATTCAGGTCGCCAAATTTCTACTACCTGCGATAAAATTCGGAGCAGCAGTGATATAAGTGTTATGATCTACCCTTCTCAACAGTGCAGAGTCTGCGTTGAATCAACCCTATGAAGAGTTACGTTTTTCTGAAAAGCTGCTAAAAATCAAATTTTCTGTTTTGTATTGTCCTAAAAATCATAACTCTACACAGATATGATTATTTGATACAAACACTGTACATTTAGAAAGCGTGGATCATACGACTTATACAGGGTGTCCCAATGAATGTGAACACTGTTTGGTTGTTGAAAACACTCTTGCTTTCACGTCTTTCGCCCAGCTTGAGGTATCATTCTGTAGAGCTAGGTTCAAATTAGATTTATTTTATGACCGAATCATCGATAACTCTTCATTACCGTAGGATTAGTAGGGACTTGCAGCATGAGGTGCTACTATGGAATAGTCCCTTTTAGTGCAAAAAACTCCAAAAAAGTCTGGAAATTTGTATAGTAAGGTTTTATTCCAGCACACATTTCACCAGTTTTTTGAGCTCTTTCAATGATATAATCGCACTTCCGACGAACATTGCAAAAACAGATGGCACCCTAAAAATTGAAATAACTTATGAAAGAAGCACTACAGTGAAGTGCAAATTTCATATTTAGAATCAACGATTTTGATTACCTCAGTATAAGAATTTCTGGCTAGTCTAGTTTTCTTTCTGAGACAAAAATCGTTTTCGCCTTTCTAAAATCCTTCTCAAAGTTCATACCATAATCCCGCAGTAATAAAGAGTAGTTGATGATTTAGTCCATACTATTTCTAAGTCGAACCATGCTCTACTGAATGGTACCTCAAGCTCGGCGAAAGACATGGAAGCAAGAGAGTTTATCAAGACCAAACAGCGTCACATTTTTTGGGACACCCTGTATTAACGTTTGCTCCAAAATTCATCGCAGATTTTACATTTTTGCGACCGGCTTAAAATAAAGCTGGATCTCCTTCTTTCTCAAAAGCTCATGCTTGCCAGAGGGCAGCAAAGACATTTTTACAAAGTTTATAAGTTTTCGAAAATGGTGAGAACGAACTTTTGCACCGTATTTATCTGCTCCATTTCTAGCGTGTTCATCACATCATTATAACATCAAATGTCTGCTTGATTGGGCCATCAGAGGCCGTTAACTTGGCAACGATGTGCAATGACGGTACCGGATCACTTTACGCGTCTGGTTCTGCGTGTTTGCAAAGAGCGGTTGCTGCTGTATTGCTTCTTTTACTCAAAGTACAAAATACTATTGGGTTGGCTAAAAAGTGAGTTCGTTCTGGCATACAAATTGTTATAAAAAAATTTTCTTGATGTTGTCAATCTATGATTCTTTGTGGAAAAGTAGTTTGAAGCTTCCTCTATCACATATCAAATATTCAGGATTTTCTATCGTCAGTAAAGGCAGTTATGCCTCAACATGGCGAAATTTCCAACAGCTCAATTCTTTGACTTCTTGACTTCGTTTTCATGCTGTAGTGGATGTAAAGAACAGCAGTTCGGTGTTTGGATACAGAGTAGTTATCCCTATTTAGTGAACAACAAAAGAACTGTGATCTGCCATTTTGAAAATGTTTCACTAAGAAAACCAAATTTCCTCATATTTGCGCATTATGGGAAAATTGCGATTTTCCACTTCTTTGCGGATTTTTTCCTGGGAAGATAAGTTTTACTCAAACTGAATATATGTTACAATACCCAGTGAAGTGCTCTTTTCAGAGATACCAAACATTGGACAAAAATTTGTCTACAGCATTTGTAAGAGCTGAAAAAGCGACCGAACTTATTTATTAGCCAACCTTATTTTCTTGCTTAGCTCCAGAAAGAGCATACTCATGGTTCACACAAATGCTAATTCGCTTCGAAGTTTTGTCCTTTTTTGGCTTGTTACAAAATCAAAGAACGACCTAGGTCTACGATGAGCATCTTGATCATTATATTCATTTTTTGTTCTTTCCCTATGCATCATGTGCATAACGTCATGGTTCTTCTAATAATAAACCGTTCAAAATCCATTATTTATTGATTTTCTTTTTATGAGCATTTGGAACCGCGTAAGTAGCCAACACCTACAAAATATTGTGATTCTAATGACTTGGATCTATTTGAAGTTTTTGATATTCAAGTGCACCAAAAATTCCAGATTTTCCGAGCGAAACTAATCTTTCAAACTTGAGTTACTTGTACTTCCTGCACATTCTATGGGTAACAATGAACCAGCTTTCAACTCCCCAGAATTCCGTAGTCATGCGTTTTTAATGAGCAAATTTCCGATTGCCGAAAAATGCAGATCAGCAGTGTGAAAAATGGCGAGTAGCCTAGAATTTGCTCCATTTTTGTGATGTATATTTTTTCCAGAAGTCTAGGATAGTGACCAAAATTATCGAAATAATGAGACGATGAAAATGACAAGTCACAAGTGCTAACAATCTGTAACAATCCTAAATGCTTTCGTTGATTATTCTAGAAGTGACACATGTATCAAATAAATAGAATGAATCAGAAGGTTTTTGAAGGTCATCCAAGGGCATTGAGGAGACAACAAAGAGCAGCATCAAATGCTAAGTATATTAAGGTTTTTAGTCGCTTCATACTACTTCTAAACTTTAGTTTTTTCGATACCCACTAAGATTGAAACAATTCTAATCAGCACATAGATTCTTCCTTACAACGCTATAAACCAGCCAATCAAATTCCCAATTATTTTCCGCGTCCCATCAACTGTGCAAAGTTTTCTCAAAGCGTTGTGTCTCTGAATTCGCGCAAATTCGATTGTTGCGATTGATTATTTGTAAGAGCGCATCCTGGTGCAAACCGGTCCTCAGCACTCTGTTCACCACCACACCGGTCCACATGGCTCTCGCGTCCGCTGCGAGTTTTTGACCTTACCCGTCTTCACCTTCTGGAACCATAACACAACATGCATTGAAATGCCTTCCCAATCAGAGTTGGCTAATGTTCCTAGGAAATTGGCTTGTCGTTTTGCTGCCAAAAAAATCTTTTTGGCGCAGAAATCGAGCTATTTACTCGAATGGTGGAAATGACCTTGTCTCGTATAGGAGTATTCTTTATTCTGCCAGCTGCTGTGTTGAAAATTGTGTTATTTCCTTCTAATTTTTTTTCACAAAATTTTTTTCTGACGCTTACTTCTTTTCCACCTCACCGTGTATTGAAGCTTATTTTGTGTGTTATGGCTGGGTTCCTAATGGTCCATCATAGCGCCATTTCTCAACGAAAGTAAACAAATTTAGTTCAAGCATCATCGATGTTTTTGGTATCGATTCATGGCTCTTGAAATGGTTTCTCCGTTCGCTTACATACCTGTTCATTCTACCAAAAGCGTCGGCAGCAGTCCTTCAAAAATTCCTTCACACTTTGAACTTCAACAGTCGATTGATGTGTTTGATTTTTTACGCTCACTTCGCCCGTTCCCCTTTCTTCTCTCTATCTGTTCTAGCCTAGTGAAATGCTAAGTGCACAGAATATTTTGTAACAAAGATTTTGTTCTGTTTTTCAGAAAATAGTGATGAAATACGAAGTACTTGAGGGTTCACCTGCAGCTGCTACTTCCTCCGTACTCAAACAAATTGTTCTGTGCACTTCTTCTCTAGCAATGATTCATAAGCGTATGCATAGAATACGGAGAAGTCTAATGCCTTTCCAGATTTCTGCTCACATATTGATGCTAGCTGAAGCACGGCTATAGTCTAAATTTTGAAGGGCTCAGATTTTCTCTTGTCTCAAAAATTGGGAATAAGTTTTCCGTCTTTGAACATATCGATAATTACGGCTTTATTTGCAAGTAGAATTTTAGTTGCAACTTGTTGTTCCTTAAGATGTCTTTTCAATACTTTGAAGGCTTCAAAACTATAGTCCGGCGTCAAAAGTTCTACCTGAATTTTTAGGAGTTAACCAGCTCGTTTTCTTGCTGAAAAAAAAAAGCTTTGGCAAATGGTTGAATCGGTCTACTATACAGAAAACAAACTGATTCGAAATATCTTTCAATCTGTTACAGCATCTGTTACACGATATACACTCATAAAGCCTTGAGATGATTTATTTCTTCCAATGTCTGGTTCAGGAACAAGATTTGTGAATTTTCCTATGCTTCCTCTGTGTTGCTTACATTACATTGGTACATCAGTTTTGTATGAAAAAAGGAACTGCCCTAGTTAAAATTTGCGAAAATAGGGCAAAATGGTTTGTATTTTAATCAATTCCCCGTGAAAGCAATGTATCAAAGCATCAAGTAGAAAGGGGTTTGTGCTCAATTGCCTACGAAAACAAAGCAGCTGTTAGAATACTATGGAGAATAAATTGGGTACAATGAACACGACGTTTCCGTAACTGAAAGACGAATGAGTTTGAGCATTTATCTACTATTATGTGCAAAGTTTCTCATTTTATCTCGTTCTTCATGTCTGCTTAACCTTCTTTAGAAAGTAATAGTGTAATCTCCATAATATGTTTTGTATAACTCCGTGAATCGAAAGGGAATGCATTTCCGTTATTTTTGATTCATTGAAGAAATTGCAGGCTCGTGACTTTACTCTTTCGTAAAGTATGACTATTTGAGCTTTAATACGCAGTGGCTCGTGCAAAAAAAAACTTTCTACATTTTTTTTGAAAATCTGATGGTGATGTAGTCACTTGTAGATATTTACAACCTTTATCTACCGAAGTATGCTTCTAATTCATCTCAAGAGTGAGCTTTCACTGTCCTTCCAAATCCATATATCGGTAATGCCATTTCTTTTAGAATGTTTATATCGTTACAAAGGTATTGACATGAACAGAATCCAGTATTGTCGGGTTCTTTCAGCCGAGCACAGTTTTTTGTTTGCTTTCGACTACCATTTCGCAAATTGTCCCCTTTCTTGAGTAGCTCCAGCACAGATCTCGTTTTAGAAAAGTTTGTCTTGCAGAGATGCAGGCGAGTAGTAGTGGTGATCCGCGAATACATATCACTTTACAATATGGTAACAACAAAGAAATGGTTTTGCTGGAAAGGACAGACGAACCACAGGTATAAAATATATTTTATTCGGTCATAAGACCTGCCAAAAATTAGTGACGATTGATAAGCTTTCCATCAACCATGCCCTGCTAACAGCTTCTTCGCCGGAAATCGCCTTCGAATTTTGTGTAACCCATGCCTGAGGGTGGGTGTATGCCTTAAGACGCCGACTGTCATTGCTGCCAATTGGCATTCCAACTAGAAGCAAAATTAGGGCGTTATATATATTTTTCGAGATAGGGCGTTATATACCTTGCAAATTTATGAGCAGATATGATAGGAGCCCAAAAAATCGAAAGCTGAATGAAACGAAACAATTCAGATTGTGAGAATAGCATGTCAAAACCTTAAAATTGACCTTAGAAGCTATTTCCTTGCAAAGCGGGGTGGGGAGGGGGGGGGGGAGAACAGGAAAGAATAATAGAATTTACCACTTCTTCCAAACTTGCGTTTGATATACTCGAGAGGAGCCGAAAAAACACATAGACAAGAATGCTAATCACACACTGCTGAACAGGAGCAGAACTTACTTCTTTGCTAATTAGGCTTCAGCCAGTAGTATTAAGAAACAACCAAAGGTAAAGTAGTAAATCAAATACGGTTTTGCTATCCTTAACTTCATCCAAAGGTTCACTGATCTTGAGATGATAATAATATGTATAGGGAAGAGCGTTTATTGTGATAGTTCATCAAGACATGAATGGATTTTATCAGTCAGGTTTTCTCGCCTTGTTTTCTTTATTCTATTAATGTTACCGTACTACTTAGTACTCAGTGTTGTATCGTACTATTATAAATAAGTCCTCTCTCTAGGTATTTGAATCATTACGGAGACGAGCTCGTGCACTTGTGGAGCGTACAAGTCCTGGAGAAAGCGAGCTGCACCTATTTCGTCACGATTATGACTCCCCTAATGTGCTTCAACATATCGGAAGCATATCACAGCTGGTATTGTCCATCCTACAAATTCTATTGAATTTTCAGAATTAGTTAGAAAGCATATTTACTGCGTTCAATCATTTAGTCGATTCAACTTTACAAATAAAAGTTCCGTTCTAATTAATGTCAATCAAAAATCAACTTGAATTTGTCACATTCAGAAGCGAGATATTGTAAACGGTGAAACATATAATAATCCAAGAACAGTTTGCCTCATCTATTAGGGGTCCGGAATTTCTGCACATTCTTGTGAATTTTGTTATATGCTGCAATGCGCAAGTTTTTTTGATCGAAAATTTTGGAAAAGCGACTCATGACCTTGAAGCAATTATTATATTAGGTTAAAGTTCATTCGCACAGTTTTCAAAAAATCCTAACTTCCTTGTATCAAGACGATTCTGCTCAAATCAAATTTTATTTCAAAACATAAAGCATATGCTTTGCAATAGTGGACTAAAGACTTTCAGCTAGGTTCAGATTGCAGAGATAAAATTGGAAGAGCAATCTTCCGACGTCCGGCGATTTGAGGCAAGCTCAAGATCCAAAAACTGTACAAAAAAATTCCAATCAGCCACTACCCTTAGTTTGCCGACCTCCGCTCTCTGAATGAGCAAACTTTGTGGTTATCGAGCTCATCTTTGAGGTGTTACGGTTTTTTTTATAAAAAACCAAAAAATCAGTTTCCAGTCAATCATTGTCCTAGGTAAAGTGGTTTTTTGGCATTTTTTTCCAAAATTCAAAATTTTACAAACAAGAACTCGATCAGCACAAACTTTGCTAAGTTAGAAAGAGAAGGTCAGAAAACTAAGGTCAATGACTATTTGGGATTTTATTGCACAGTTTTTTTTGGATTCTTAGCGGGCTTGCCTCAAATCACCGGACGTTAGAAGATCTTCTCCTTCATTTTTATATCTGCAATCTGATCCTAGTTGAAAGTCTTTAGGACATCATTTAAAGACACATGCTTTAGGGGCTTTCTAATAAAATTAATGGAGGAGAATTTTTGAAAATTGTGCAAACGAACTTTTGGTCCTTTTTTCTCAACCTAATCTTATCTATAAAGCTGAATGTGTGTATGTATGTATGTATGTATGTATGTATGTATGTATGTATGTGCGTATGTGCGGAATAGAAATTTTTATTTCTGAACCGATTTGGACCAAACTTGGCACACATACACTTCGGGGCAGGGAGCGTGTCATAGGCTACTTTTCGTTATCGATTGATATCGATTTTATCGATTTTTTGCAAAATTTGAGCTACGGGGGTGGGAGTTGGCACAGGGGGTAATCGAGCATACTGATTACAAATATGTTATTGACAGGGCCGGGCGGAGCCGGGTTTGCCAACTAGTACAGTATAAGCCAATCGAACATAGGCTTTTTGGCTGTTGAATATCACTGATTGAATTTTGCAGTTTTCATAAGTAAAAAATGTTAACTTTGCGACAAAAAGTCACTATCAACTACTAAATTTTATATTTCACTATCCCGAGGAAAATATCTGCTGGTCAAGTGTCTCTACACAAAGTTTGATTCTTCCAAAGTAAAGCATGAACTTTGATCTCTGCCACTCATCTGTATTACACTTCGCGCGTATAAGGCGCGGGATATTTTTTTTCCAAAATCGACCGGCCCAGACAAGCCAAAGCACTTTACAACCAAGGAACCCTATAACATGCTGTATATTGGTTGAGAGAATCGTGCGATGTATGGATTTCTTTCCCGAATACAGTACAGCGGCTGAGCGGCTCGCTTGAAAATTCAAAAAAGTGCGCCTTATACATTATGGTATTAGGCTGTCGGATAACTTCTGTTGCACTTTTTATTTCAATTCTCAAAAATCTCAGAGGCCTTCGAAAGTCATGCTCACGGCATGTGGGTTGGGTCAAAAGCTCTTCATAGGTACTGTCGCTTCCGCGGCCAGTGTAACATCAGCATTTTGTGGCTGAATATCCCTTTTATTCCGATTTTTGTATATGAGTTTGCATTTTTCTCTGGGAAGCTTTTGGAATTTTTCAAAAAAAATGAAAGAGTATAGCAGAAATTATCCGAAAACCTAATATATCACCCCAGCCGCTTATGTATTATGCACATTACCTGAGGAAATAAGAAAGCGGAATTAAAGGTTTGAAATGAGCTAATATTAGGTTGTCCGAAAATTAATGCAGGTTTTGAATTCCAACTGCAATAAGTCATACACTTCTCATTTCTAAGTAGGTTGCAAAATACCATTCGATAGAGCAAAGCAAGCTCTACAAGATGGCAATCTTGCTTTCGCGACAGCTCTGATCCATCTCGAGTTTCAAGCCAAAAACTAAAAAGATTCAACTGCCCGAAAAATCGAGAAAAATCGTAACTCTGTTCATAGAAATCCTACAAAAAATTCTAACTTGCTTACATAAGCACAATCCACGTAGGGCATCTACATACGCCGTTGCCGTATTTTTTCTCTGTTAGAAACAAGAAAACGGAAATTTTCGCGCATTTGCCAAAGTGGTGCTATGCCGTTCCCACACAAGTAGTTGTATACTACATACCTGTAGAAGTACAAACGTAAATTTCCAGCTTTCTACAAGATTTAGTTCTCGAGAAATTTGAATTTTAGCTTGGACCACATGACTAGGGAAAACTGTACTCGATATTTCTCGAGAACTAAAGCCTGTAGAGAGCTGGAAAATTGCGTTTGTACTTCTACAGGTATGTAGTATACAACTACTTATGTGGGAACGGCATAGCATCACTTTGGCAAATGCACGAAAATTTCCGTTTTCTTGATTTCTAACAGAGAAAAAAATACGGCAACGGCGTATATAGATGCCCTATGTGGATTGGATTTACGTGAGCAAGTTGAAACTTTTGTAAAATTTTTATGAACTAAGTTACGATTTTTCTCGATTTTTCGGGCTGCTGAGTCTTTTCAGTTTTTGGCTCAAAACTCGTGGTTCAGAGGCTGCTAAAGCAAGACTGCCATATTGTAAAGCTTGCTTTGCTCTATCGAATGATGCCTTGAAAGCTATTCAGAAATGAGAAGTGTATGACTTATTGCAGTAGGGATTCAAAACCTGCATTAATTTCCGGACAACCTAATATTTGCTTATGACATCACAAAAGCAACACTTATTAGAGGGAAAATGATGAATTAAATACAATAAGTAACAAGAAATCAAGCTGAAGTTTCTCATAAGCTTTTGGAAATCGACCAACACATGAGCTCATATTTCAGAATAATGGCTGCATCGTCGAAGTAATCGTTGTGGATCGAAATGAAAGGCCAACTCGACCGCATGTTTTAGAGGTAAGTTCGTTCGAAAATTATGTTTTTTCATACCTCAAATTTTCAGGTGAAAAACTATATGACTTTGACGTTCTGTGATTTTTGTGGAGCTATGCTAACGGGTCTTATGCGTCAAGGGCTACACTGTGTCGCTTGCAAGTAGGTGGCCCAAACTTACAACAATTGTCCACAATTCGGTGGTCACTTTGTGCAATTACACCGTTTGTAAATCTTTAGATGATAGGGTGAAGGTAAAGGCTGACCCAAATGAGAAGATGTATTTATGGAACGGAAAAGATCTTTTACAGAAAAGAAAATAACGCATGACCTGCGGCAATCTTTTACCTGCGCACAAAATTAGTGCAATTACAAAGTAACTGCTCAAGTGAGATTGATTGGAAGTACAAACATAGATCCACAGTTTAGATGTAACTTCCATCGTCGATGTACTGAAGCTCCACGAAACAATTGTGTCGTAGCAACTCCGGGTCTTTCTACGATGAGCCCCATCCCGATGGGACCAGGTGGGGTTGGCGTGGGAAGCCCGCTGCCACCGGGTACACCAAGTAAGCTGGATTCAATGGTCTCAAAAAGAGCTCAACATAGATTTTTAGGTGCTGCTCTGGAGCTACCGCACACACTTGTCGAGAATAACTATTTAACCCCGACAAAGTGTAAAATTTGCGACAAAATGCTCAAAGGGTTGATTAGGCAAGGATTGAAGTGTAGAGACTGTGGGGTGAGTAAAACTATTTGCGCCCCTTCTTCTCTGACTATTCAGAAACCATTTCAATAGACTAGTAGAAGCTGTTTTTCTGCATATTCAAGATTCTTGCAGAATTTCTTGAATTCAGGTAAATGTTCACAACAAATGTGCTTATCAACTGCCATCAAACTGCACTTTATCCGACCACGCCATCAGCCGGATGAGCATCACCGAGACACCGTCATCTACGCCATCTGCAAGAAGTAGTTTGGTGAACATGGACGAAGAGCCGAGCAGCAGCGAGAATATACCATTGTTCCGCTTACCTGGTATATTTCGTTATCTTCCTTTCAAATTCACAGTATGACTTCAGTGATCTTTGATCAATATTCAGACAGGCTTCAAACATAATATGATTTGAGGTAGGCTACTAATAGGACGCGTTTTATAAAACTACTTCTAACTACTAAAACGCTATCATACAGTAAGACCAGCCAAAAGGTCGCTCTTTGCCTAGTTTTGATTGCGGGTATCCAGTTCATTGACCATGTCTCAAACTGTGCCTATCAAAGGCACATTTGACCCAAATTTGAGACAGCCAGTGACCACTTCCCCAAGGGAGAAATCTTAGGAGGTAGATTCTGCAAAATCGTTCTGCCTATCGCCTGGGCCTAAAGGAACTCGTTACTTAGAAATGTTGAAAATATCATTATCACGATCATGGCAGCGCCAAGAACTGCTTGTTGCCGGATATGTGCCAGCGTCATGCAGCCACCGTGTTAGCGCCGTGCTGGTGCCGTGCTGGTGCCGTGCTGGATCAATAAGCATGCCGTACAGGCGCTCCACACTTTGGATGCGTTAGCACGGCTCTGGATGGCAGTGGCACGATTAAGCTAAACGCACCTCAAGAGCACCGCAAAACTTCATCAACCTCAAGTACGGATAGATGAGATCATCAACCAACTGTTGAGTTCTCTGCCTTTCACAGTTTGTTCATCGTCACACAATTTTGAGACTCCCCTAGACTGATAGTGCGGAAGCTATCCCAACCCCGCTGGTGTAGGATCAAATTGACTGTGGCGTTCGATGGAGAAAATGATGGGTCGTTTGCAGCGCGCTGGTGGCTCAAGTTGTTTATCTCCTCAAAGGGAGAAGATGCATATATTCGAGTACTGCGATGTATATCGTAACAAGTAGTAGCACCACCTTTTGGCCGAACCCACGCCCGTACCGTATACGATTCAAATCGATTTTGAATCAAGTTTCACAGCAAACTAGCGGCCAAAACTTGCACCTACTCATCAGTCTTAATTATATTACGAGATCGTACTATAAAATATGTTAGATCGCCGACGTTGCGATCAAAAATCTCTACGTATTGCAAACGTAACACTACTCAGACAAAAGCCCTCAAATCAGAAAAATACTATAGAGAAAGGATTTTCGCTCATGCTTTCAATCTATACATTTAAAACAGTAGTACCTAAAAAGAATCAATCCAAGCTTCTGTACTTTGGTGAACATCAACAGATTTTTGGTTGGGTCGAACCTTTTTTATGCAATTCATTTCTTTGCCATGTTTGAATCGATTTGATTTATTCATTTACACATGTTCCAAGTCATTTCGCAGTCTCAAAAGGAATTTTTTGTAATGGGAGTTCATAATTCAGGCCAAGTGACATCCAGAAATACAACGCAACCAAAAGTAGAGGGATGGATGATTCATTTTCTTCTCTCTGATCCAGAGCGGAGGCTCAAACATTACTGGATATTGGCTAATGATGCTATTAATATGTATCATGAGTACAATGAAGGTAAGTGAATTTAGGAAATTTTTCATGCGATTTTCTTTAATAAAAAGGTTTGACTCAGAACTTTAGGTGTAAATCCCAACAAATGTTATATGGTACTTCCCTTAGCTGAAATTCTTGCTATCACTGCTTACCAAGGACCGCCCGTACATTCAAAGTTGGTAAATTTTGAAAATAGAAGTTAATGTTGTTTAAGTGCTACTATTCTTGTATCTTCCACAAATACTCATAAATTTCATGAATTATTTTTTTATTTATGTGCCAAAGTTATATATTTCAATTGCTGTCTGCAACTTTTCCGATTGCTTTATTTTCAAGGTATCCCCCTCACTGCTTTGAAATTAGGACCATATCTAATGTTGTCTATTGTGTTGGTGAGAACCTACATGCGTATTCCAATGGACCACCAAAAAAGATTCCCAGGTGTTATAGCATTAGGCCGCCTTCAAATACTCAGCTATGGTTCCAGGTACATAATCCTCCCAAGCCGATACCCATTTTTTTTGAACCCCCATTCAGGCCTTGAAAGATGCCTTACAACCACCAGTAGGGCGCTCGGACCACCCTAATTCGGAGCGAGCGTTAGAATTCGCGGAGCTCTACCAGGTATTCAGGGATGATATCTAGCAATTTACTTCATTGGTTATAGAGAATACCCTCTCTTCAGGTTCTGAAGGAGAAAGTTCTTGGGTCGGGTCAGTTCGGTACTGTCTATAGTGCAATTCAACGGCACACGGGTGTGGAAGTCGCAGTTAAGGTTAACATTAGGCAAAATTAAAACAATAGAATTTCGATGAAGAAGTGAATGAGTTGCAAACGGCACCTGCAAAGAATCTATTTTGCAGGTAATCTCCAAAGAACGGTTTTCAAAGAAAAGCAACGGCTTAGAATCGATGAGGGCGGAGGTAAGAGTTTTTCGATAAAAATACACAAAAGGGGCAAAATACTACAGCTAAGGCTTTATGAGAGAATTGAACTGGCTGTGTTCAGTTCAAGTTGATATGTTGATATGCAGACAAATCTTGGCACGTGGACTTCTTCTGAAGAGAGATAGCGGGGATCATATACTCCTGAATCTGGAGTTGTTGGGATTTGGACGAATAGTGAGACTTCCACCTCAGTGAAGTTTTGCTGCAAAAGAAGTCCACGAAGCAAAAAATCGCTCCAAAAAGTTTGCTGCTGGTGTTTCTACGCCCGGCAATGCGAATGGTGTAAGTGTATGAGCTCGAAACTAGACTCATTATTACCTAGAAATGCGAGAATCGCCTATCATTATGTACAACATCCAGTTTCGAGCCATGACTGTCAAACCACTCATGTTGGTGGGCGTGGCGACCCTAGCAACATCCACCTTTTGAAGCGATTTCCTCGCTACGGAACACACGTTTTGCAGTCATATTTGGTGGGGCAGCCATTCAGCCAGGGGCCTCAATATTGTGCCGCATCAACGTCTCACAAACCTCAAATTCGAAGATAGATGCCCAGCAGCAACTCATGTAATCCAATCACTCAGTACTTCTGAAATTTTGCCTACGTGCCAAAAGAAGCTCGAAAAAGTACGATTTCGAACGAGATTTGGAATAAATTTTGTGAAGAATGAACAACATGCTGCATAGCCCAGTAGATAATGTTTAGAACCTCTTAATCAGTCCAGAAAGCCAAGGTGATCAGATTGCCTAAACATCCTCCAAAAATTGTAAAAATTATGTTGACGAATATTTTTTTACGCTTTGCGTTTTGGTCCATTTTGGAAGCTTCCAGAGAATCTTAAGCCTTAAGTGTAAGGAATCCCGGGGTGCAAGAAACTATAATACTTTGATTTTTAGAATCAAAGAGGAAAAAATGTAGCAGAGATTATTCGCCAAATTCCCAAAAACGATAGCTGATGATTTGGCACATTTTGCACCACCTGACTGTTCAAGTGTGTATCACACATGATTCACATGCATAGACAAACACATTCTTTGGACTATCAAAAATTATCGATGAGTTGGCGCAGTCACTAGTAATTTTTTTTGGAAAACTGGTAACTGTTGTGTAGCCTAGCAACTATGAAACTTTGAAAAATGACTCGCAAAAAATACAATCATAGGTCGCCATTCTTCAACGCGTATGTCACAGTGGAATCGTTCGTCTAGAGTTCATGTGTGAAACGAAAGATAAAATATTTGTGGTGATGGAGAAGCTGAATGGAGACATGCTAGAAATGATTCTTAGCCAGGTCGAGGATTTTGCTGAAAACTATTAAATCCCCAAGAAAATAGAATTTTTCCAGGCTGCTGGACGTCTTGACGAACGTGCCACACGATTTCTTCTCGTACAAATCTTGTCTGCATTACAATATCTACATAAACAAGGCATCGCTCATTGCGATCTGAAACCGGAAAATGTTCTGCTCTCCGAAATGAACACGAACTTCCCACAAACAAAAATCTGCGATTTCGGATATGCCAGGTACTGTGAATGCATATCTTGGCATATCAAGATTATGCTTTGTCCTTTGAAGATTTATTCCCGAATCCCAATTCCGAAAGACAATCGTTGGCACACCTGCTTATCTTCCACCCGAAGTACTGCTCAGGCAAGGTAAGCTTTGAAATTTTTGTCAATTATTTGAAGACTGCAAAAATATCTTTCCAGGATACAACAAGTCGCTAGATATGTGGTCCGTTGGCGTGATCATCTACGTGACCCTTTCGGGCACATTTCCCTTCAATGAAGGGGATGAGGTAAGTGTTTGCTATAAGAATGGAATCAAAATTTGCAACTTTCTTGAAAATAGGTTACCGCAAGTTCTATATGCCATATCTTATATATAGAACTGAATGTCTGTTTGTCTGTCTGTATGTCTGTTTGTATGTCTGTCTGTACGTATGTTCCGAATAGAAAATTCCATTTCTGAACCGATCGGGACCAAACTCGGCACACATACACTTCGGGCCCCGGCGGGTGTCCCAGTCCACTTTTCGTTATCGATCGATGTCGATTTTATCGATTGTTTGCAAAATTTGAGCTAGGGGGCTGGGATTTGGCACAGGGGGGTAATCGAGCATGCTGATCACCCCCGTGGGGGTGATCAGCATGCTCGGTGATAAAATCGACATCGATCGATAACGAAAAATGGACTGGGACACCCGCCGGGGCCCGAAGTGTATGTGTGCCAAGTTTGGTCCGGATCGGTTCAGAAATGGAATTTTCTATTCGGAACATACGGCGGAGCCGGGTAAGCCAGCTAGTATTATATATAGGCTGCTGCATGACGAAGGCGCAGTATCTTTGGGCGCAAACGCGGTTTCATCAGCCGCAGAGCGCATGGGGCGCAGGATTCACAATGGTGAAAATACGCGCGCGCAGCGTTCGCGCCTGCTCAACTAATACTGCTTCTGCGCCTTCGTCATGCAGCAGCCTTTACATTTTTTTGTAAATGCATCATGGTTGCACATGGAATATGGTGTGTTAATACGATCAAACCATACATATTATAGTCAGTAAAAAAATCATGGGGCTCTAAACTTGGAAATTGTTTTATGCCCATTTTGATGTAGAAATGCTGTCGGTACCACAGGGCAGTGATTTAGTCGTTGGGTATGCTAGACTATGCAGCTGCGATGTCTTTTCTTAGAAAAAAGTTCTAGTTTGAGTATAGTCTTCCTTATTTTCATACCTGCTAATTTTCTTTGCTATTTTTTAAAGGCGTTTTCCTTTCCAGATAGCTGATCAAATCCAGAACGCGGCGTTTATGTTTCCAGCAGAGCCATGGGCTGAAGTATCTCCAGCAGCCATAGATCTAATTCAGCGCCTCCTACGGGTAAAGGTTGGTTTTCAAAATTACATTTTATCTTGATAGCACTATGATCGCAGCTATAGCACAGCTCTACTTTTAGATAGAAGAGCGCCTTACTATCGAGCAATGTCTGGCTCATGAGTGGCTGAAAGGAGAGCAGCTATATCGCGATCTTAGGAGTTTGGAGCTGCGGCTAAAGTGCCCTCGGTAAGTACTGCAAACCATCGTTCAATAAGCTCAGGCATGACACGAATTCAGGTATCTGACCAGTCCCGCTGATGATGAGAAATACGCTGAATTTCTACAACAGCAAGGTCTTGTTCCGGAATTTTAGGACGCCGTTCCTGCCAACGCAGTTTAAGCTGCTCTTGTGCCAGTTGATTGTGATAGTGCACCACAAATATAAATTAACATATTTGGTAACAGCTGTGCTGAATAAAATTCTAAGATTGTCTTTTGATGATGGCACAAAGAACAGGATGTAGAAAGCAAAAGCTTCTACACGCTCATTGCGTCAGCTTATCTTTAGACGCATTGAGTTCTTACACACTTGAAGTTTGTTCGTGAGGGCGGGTAGAAAGTTTTCTATACAATACCGCTCACATTTTTTGAAAAAAAGACGCGAATGTATGGACATATATGGACATGTACGGACATGTCCATACATGTATGGACATGTACGGACATGTACGGATATGTACGGACATGTGCGGACATGTCCATACATGTATGGACATGTCCGTACATGTCCATACATGTCCATACATTCGCGTCTTTTTTTCAAAAAATGTGAGCGGTATTGTAGTCCAGTCTACCATTCACCATTGCTACGCCCTAAAACCTCATTGATGCGGCCTCCCAACAGATAAGTCCGAACTCATCTGACAGTCTTCGGACTTATCTGAATTTTAGGGTAGTCATAATAAGAAAGAAAAAGGACTTATCCTAGGTCGGACTTATGTGAAAAGCCTTATGTGGCTCAAAAAAGCGGACTTATCTGTGAGATTTTAGGGTTTTTCAATCTATTTATCACAAGTTTTATGAAGCTAAGCTACACACAAACATAGTAGAGAAATCTTCTCTTTTCCTACTTTAATACATAGAAAATGATTAGATGAAAAAATGCATGCTTGTTCTGGAAGAAGCGAGTTTGAGGAAGCTTAGAGGCTTGGTGTACAAAAACTGAAACATAGACGTGCATGATGTGAGCAAGAAAGGAAGCATAGCCTTCACCTACAAAGACAACAAAAAGTCCTTAACAGTGCTCCAGACGCGAATCTCATAACTATATCAGAATAGGAAAGTTCGACTTTCTATAAATCTCGGCATGAATAATGTGTTTATTTGAAGTTTTACGTTTAATTATTGCCGAAACGTTAGCCTAAATAAAAACTTACCAATCTCGGTCGTCGCTAAACAATCAAATAAACACAATATATCAGAATGAGTGCGAAGTGAGTAGAATGTGAGTGATAATTCTGAAGAACATAGCACAACGAAAGAAAGGCACCGTCACCGTTTTCAACCAGAAGAACTTTTTAATTCCTTTAGAAACGACAACAATCATAACTTATAATAACGGGCTAAGGATGTTTACGTGTTTTTGTGTGTGTAAGTCTTGTCTGTCACGAAATTCGTAGAACGTGTTGCAGCCAACCTCCTAAGCCCAAGTTTTGGTGCATGCTACCAACATGAGAGTCCACTACAGCAAAGCGCGAGCGGATCCGTTGTGCGGATCCCTCAAAAAATGAGCGTCAATCTGATCGACTTGACTTTTGGCCAATAAATTTGAGCCTGTAGCTTTAACTTTTTGCAAAGTCACGCATATGTTTGACAAGTTAATGCGCAAGCCATGGACCTAGTTAAAATAATTGAACCTACGTTTATTACATTGCGAAAACGGCGCCAAAATGAATTGGTTGCGTAAATGTTCACTTTGCCAAGATTTTACCCGATCATTTGAGAAAAATTTTGCGCAGAGATGTAGCCCACGGTGATTATTGCATCTTATGGCGAACACTAAGCTATGAAAAGTCCAAAAGTCGACTCAAATTTGCATTTGTTCTTTTGGAAAAGTTTCGTTCATGCGAATTTACCGATCTCTTATGGAAAAGCTTTTGGATTAAATGATTCTTTACAAATCGTGATAGTCCGCATAACGCGGTGAGTTTCAATGACATTATTGTGCGGGAATGAGTAAAGGGCCGGGCATACATCACGCGATTTCATCGCCGCAATATCTGGTCGTCGCGATTTGCTGCAGGTAGCGACGAGATCGCGGCGACTAAATCGCTAGTTGCTTGTTACTGGACATACTTCTGCGGTGATTCATGCACTTTCTCCCACTTGAGCACATACTATACCTTCTCAAACTACTTATAAGTACTTGTATTACATTCGGCTTAATTTTTTCATTTGTATTTTCATTTTGTAATCCAGAATCAATTAAAACCGCAGGATCACATTGAAACTCGACTGTGTTCCTATTTGGGCCTCACTGTTTCAAAGTCGCGGATTTTGCTCAAATTCGGTCCAAAGGGGTTATTCGATCCACTGATGCCAGATATCATAATTGTTGTGCTTGGTAAAACGGCATTTTCTGAGGCCACGGTAGGAACGTAGTGGGACAAAACTATAGATTGGCTGTAATTCCGTCATGGGAAGTCATTCAACATGCTGATAACGAAAATCATACTCGCATTGCGTTTTGGGAGATATAGGCTGACTTGCGGTGAGTATATGGTAGATGTCAAAGTCACAGACTTGCCTGAAACTTTGCGCCGTGAAGTACCTAATTTGATGCTCTGATCACGGATACATGTGATTCATTTCGCATGATGAAGTCTTTACCAGACTTTTTGAATTAGATTGACCCACGAAAAATTGCTAGTTGTCGTTGTGGATGGCACAGATTGCAAGAAAATGGTGCTTTCCTAAGTAATCATCATGATTATCATGTTCGGTGCGCCAAGAAACCTCCTCCCCACAACAAATTTAAAGCGAATCCGCGATTTTGACCCTCTACAGTAAACTCACGGTAGCCTCAGAAAATGTCGCTACCGTACAAAATAACCATGATATTCGGCACCAGGGGGTCGAATAACCTTTCTAGACCGAGTCTGAACGAAATTCACGACTTTGAAATCTTGGGTCAAGGATAGCACCAAAAATGGATACAAGAAGATCGATTTGCCGAGAAGCAATGCACTCTGATAAAACAGAACTATTTTTGAAATAGTAGACAAGAAAACAGCTCGAAAAGCTAAGAAACGATCATAACAACTTTCAGAGAAGAAGTCCAATTCTAGCGATTAAGTCGTGTCGCTCGTTTGGAGTCAGCGACGCGATATCGCTGAGATTCGGGCAAATCGCGACGATTTTAATGAAGGAAGTATACCCGGGGAAAAAATGGTCAGCGATTAGTCGCGCCGAAAAACTATCACAACCGAATGGCAAAATGATCAGCATGCAATGGACTCATCGCGTGATGTATGCCTGGCCTTTAAGGCGTATAGTAATAGGACCAGTCGAGCCTCTGCGAAGCAGAGGTGAAGCACTGGTGTTTATATAACCCAAATAGCAGAGGCGTACCGAGGGGGGGGGGGGTGGGGAGGGTGCCTGATAACACGAATAGACTTGTTGAATCTCCACGTTAGAGCGTTGCTTTTCGTACTCTCTCGCTGGCAAGACCGCTACGCTGTGAGTTGGCAAGACTCCACCTCCACACGAATCTGGAAGCCGATGATATCTATGTTCTATTCAATATGTACAAGCGGGTTATGCTGGTCAGTGGTCGAAGCTACTTATTTTTTGCATTAACCAGGCTGCTGCTGGGGCTCCAATCTAACATAAGTATCACGGTGGCGGCTGCTCGTGTGCCGCTTCGTAGATCTCTCGCCGCGTTCGCCCTTAGCGGATATGGTATTTTTCAAAGCTTGATTCGTGGGACATACCGTATCCCTAGGCTGAAAAGAAATAGAGCACAATAAGTCGCCAATAGACTCCACCCACGCGGATAGATGGCATGAGGCATAGTGGTAAAGGCGCTAGCTTTGTTGCAAATGTCCAAATGTCCACTGGACACCCTCCCCCCTTCCCCTTGCCGCTTATGTTTTCTACTCGCTGACGAACTAAGGAGGGTGCCCGACAGGCGTTTACGAACGCATCGAGTGGCCTAAGCGAGGCGGTGGGCAAGGACCTGAGCCTCGCCGACCGTGATACTCAGATTGAGAGCCCCTGTAGCAATGGATGCTAAGAATAGATTTTGCAAGCTCATAATAAAGAGTGCCGAGTTCCCTGAACGTGCCTGCTAAAGCATAAAAATTCTCTGTGAATGATTGCCTTAACACGTTGACGACCGTGTGCATCCGCGCGTATGCACGCCCAGACCACCTTTTAGCACTTTCGTGCATCTATTTATCATGTGTAAACGAAAAGTCCTCAGGTAACTTCTATGCAGTGGTAACACTGGTGGCCTGGTTGTCATATAGAACACACGGCATTGCAGTAGATGTCAAACAGTCCAAACCGCAGGCGTAGATCATCAGTTCATTTTGAGGTGGTCAAAAATGGCTCGGTCGTCAACGTGTTAAATGGTTCTATGGCTGCTACTGATGGCCCCGACTCTTTGCTTCACCAATGTGTTGGGGAGAATTTTTGGTCAACTCCAAACACGGAAGATGTGGAATATAATATTCTTGAATGGGCAACCCATTTCGGAGCGTGTAATCAGGATGCATCTTACTTATTTGCCTGGACATGTACTGAGCCATTGCAAGAAAATAGGAAGCATGAGATTATTTCAACGAAAGATTCATGATAGATAATAGCCTGGCGTGTTACAGCCAACAATAAAGTCTCGAACGTCAATTTTCACTCATCTCATGAATCCCTTAAGGCCCCGGACAGACTTCACGCGATTCGATCGTCGCGACTCAATCGCCGACATTTCCATTCATTTTCATTTCAAATTCAAACATTTCGGGCTGGAAAAGTATCACAACCGAAATGCAAGTTGATCGGCATGGAATGATGTTGTAACAGTTGTCTCGTCGCGATTCAGTCGCGACGATCAAATCTCGTGAAGTCTGTCCGGGGCCTAAGGCTACCATGCGCTATCACCTATCTATTCATTGGAAGCGGAAAGTCGAGTTATTTTCTATCAATGGTCAAACTATTGGTAGAAAATTGTTGAGAAAATTGCCGCGATATCGTTAGATGTGGCACAACACCACGACCATTTCCTCTTTATTTCCAGAAAATCTAGATTGTGCGTTGGCAAGCAGCACAATCTAAATTCGTTGCGAGATACGTCCATATTTTCAGATAATTAAGTGAGACAAAATTTACCGTAATAAAAAATCCCCGAGCAAGCGTTGCTTCTCTAACCACTTGATTATACGAAATTAGCGGCTCAGAATAAACAAAGAAGCTAACAAACTTGGTAGGGTGCAGGGCTGTGACGGTGGCTTACATATGCGAGCAACCATCTCAATCGAAAGTTATAGATTAAACCCTTTGAGAGATTCCGGGGGTTGCTCCTATGTGCTGTGCATTGTAATCAATAATCATTGGACTTGAGTGCTCTACTCTTCGTCCACAAAAGAAAAGTTCAGTGTGCCATTTTAGTAGTGGCACCCGCTCCAAAACGACATTTTCACAACCCTAACAGAATGTTCAGTGGCGGAATATCCTATTCATTGAAGCATCTAAAATACCATGCACTTCGGCTGAGGGCTTTTGCAGAAAAGTTGTTCTGCACTTTCATTGTGAAATGCTGCTTTTGCTAGAGTATGGGTAAGATTGTAAACCTCATGGGCAAACGCTGCATTTACCAGTTTCTGAAAAAGAGTTTTTTTTTTCGCTTAGACGTTGTGACTTATAACACGTTCGCGAGATACTTTTAGAATAACGCAACTTTTTATAATTCTTTTTTGTTCAGACATGCGATAGGGGAGCCGATTCTTCCCCTACCTTCACATCTGTTAATACAGGATATCTTCACTTTCGGATCTGATAAAAATGTTTATGAATGAGAAAGAGATAAGGAAAACAAATACGAGACAGATTATTTAAAGCATATTTTCACGCAATTCATTCTTATGGACTCGCCGTCATTTATTGCGAGCATCCGAAGGCTATACCGTCACGGAAGTGCCAACGCCTCAGATCCCTACGTTTGGAGAACAAGGCTTCTTGACTTTCGATAGTTCCAAAATAGCCCAACGATCCTCTTTAAAACCATAGCTTTGACCCAACGGCCCTCTTTAGAACCACGAATAAAATCAGTGCAATTTTGCGGCTTTTACGAAGTAAATTTTGTTACAATGACTGTGAAAAGGTTGATGCAGGGAGTTATCGCCGAAAACCACATCAAAGATGATGTGAAATTGCAGTTATCATAATTGGACATGTAAGCAATAACGATGAGAAGGAGCCGGGGGGCTAAATCTAAGAGTTTATCGCCGAAAACCACCCAAAAAATAGGATTGCTTACTCGATGTATTGACTTTGAGTGTGGAGTGTGATGTTTAGACTTCATAGATTTTATGGAATAAGCTTTGCTCTATCAGGCTGCAGATAAGCCGTGCCGAATGAAAACGTCGCCGAGAGCCTGGCCTTTGAAAGAACAGCTGAAAAATCGCTCCAACAGCTCATAATTTTTTCTGAACTTCATAAGCGACTTCATCATTGAGAATCCCCTCTCCAAGAGCTTTCAGATGATATGTGATATGTGGGGGCTTGATGCCTTCTACGCCTTTGCCCGCACCACAAATCTCCGCCCCCGCTCACGTTACACAGAATTGAAAATAGGATGACCTTCCAACTTCGGATTGAGCTTGATCATTGATAGAAATTATATCTCATTGCTGTGTTTTTTGAGACGTCTTCGGTGGATCAATAATTAAAGCACGTCGGTAGCCAAAGTGGTGACAACTGAAATTGCTGAAGTACGTGTAACACGCACACAAGCAGAAAGTGGCAAAGATAGTAAATTTTGGCTCGGAACTGGAGTGAAGTGTATGTCTGAATAGTCGCGCCAAATTTTCCAAACTCTGCATTTCAGGAGGACTTAAATGTAAAAATAGCAGAAAAATGTTCAACATTGAATTATGCTTTGCCTAAAACTTGTATGAAGTATAGACGAGTCAATGCACGCAGAGACAAGGCAGTATTGCGGACGCTGTCGGCGACTCTTCGATTAAATGCATTCTCGTCACTCTTGTCGTCTGCTGCCTCTGTCAAACATAAATTGTCTCAGTAAAGGGCAGGATCTAGTCTCTGCGTGCGAAATGCCATATCCAATCTTTCATTGATGATTTTTTGCAGATTTTTCTGATTTTCGATACCATTTGAGCAAGAAGCTTTCTTTTTTGGAAAAAAAACTGACGAATTTTAACTATCTTGCAGCTTGCTATAGACTGTCTCCCCTACCAGGTCACGAGTTTCACTTTGATTATAAGCGAACTTTGAGAACACTTGATTTTGCTCGATTATTTGTCAAGTTGCCAAATTCTGGGCCCTGGTAGAAAAATTCTAAGATGCCGAAACATCGAAGATTTTTTTATGAAAGATCTAAAACTCATTTAAAATCAACAAAACAAAACTTCTGTTATGTGAGTTCACCGCAGACCGTTCCCCGCTCAGAAAAACAATTAGCATCGACCTGAATCCGCCGGATTATTCATGGACTATTCTTGCAAAATCCCCTAGCGCAAGAAACGTTAGAGTCTTGATATATGGTGGATATCTAGGAAATGACTAGTGCAGTTATACAGACGAATTAAGAGAGCGCTAGCAATATTATTTTCCCTAGTAAGAAGGAAAGAATTCAAAGATTTTTTGCATTTCATATAAAACCCTTTTAGCGACACTGATTTAAAGTCTTTCCGCGCAGATGAGCCCAAATTCTTGATCACTGCAACTAACCAGGTACAGTATTCCGCTTTTTTACACTTAGCATTTAAGAGCAGTATTCTTAAAAGAATTTGGACTGCAAAAGCTTTTACGCCACCGGTTTGTGAGTTTCCAACTCCTCTAGATAACGGCTGCAAAGTTGGTGGAGAGGCAATCCCCCACTTTGTTGGACCTCCTCCTTGGCTGCAGATTGGCATTTACGAAGAAATTTGTTTAGTCTCTCCGCAAAATAGTTTTATTACGAATGTGTCGGTAGTTTTTGAGTATGGAAATACAGATTCGGAGATTAAAGATTCCTTGAATCTCACATAGATGATCTGTCGTCGAAGTCGAAGCAAATTCAAAAGAGCATATTGTATTGTCGATTTCGCAACCCGCTCACAAAAATAATGAGCTCCTCCAGAGAAAAATTCTGTTCCGGAGCGTCTCAATACGAGAGCGTTTTATTACCACCTGAAAAGAGCTTTGATATTTAGTTTGTAACAAATCTTGGATTATTTCAAAATGTGCTCGTAAACCGGGACAACACATTCACTGCAAGCTCGGAAATTGTTTGACGACAACCAATTGAGAAAGTTTATTCTATAAGTTGCGAGGTTTTGTGTTACAAGAATCAAGAATCACACAACCTTGAAAAAACTTGTAAAAGCTTTCTTTTTCATCGTATTGAGCCAACAGCAATAAGAACTAGTGCATCTCAAGTATCAATTTATTATTACTGCAACAGGTTTATCACCAAGTGTTGTTACGTTTCGAAAATTATCAAGTAAATGGAATAATAAATAGAAGCAACACGGTCGACCAAGCAAAACAAGGTAACATATATATCGATGAAACTTCAATGACTGATATCCATCGATTCGATCACATCAAATTTGATAGTCTTCCTCTTCAACACTTTCGTTGCACCTGACTTGAACTTGTACGACAGATCAATAGGTTCAGGCTTCTTGCAGAAATCAGGTACGATGGGTCCCTTGAAAGTGAACAGCGGTATACAGATTGCAAAAATTTTCAAACGAAAGAGAATAAAAAAATAAGTACATAAATAATAAATAATAAAATAATTAAATAAATGATCAGACCTTAATAACCTTTAAACAATTAGCACAAAACAAGATCTAACCAAGAAGCAAAATTATTCTCGACATGAGTGATATAGCGTTCTACGTAGAAAATACCAACCCTAAATTCAGTTTTGTCTGGTCGCATAATCACAAGATTCAGACTGTTTCCAGAGGCATTGTCTCCATGCATACCAGCATGAAGTGCTCGCTGCACAAGGTTAACTGCGTCTTCTTCCTAAATGCATGAAAAGAACTTTCATAAACGACTTATGACGGAACATACGCTCATATTGTTTTTGAAATCTCGTTCTAGAACGGAAATGGCAGCATAGCTTCCAGACCCTTGAGCTGCGAAAGGTTTCGCCATGGTTGTACCATTTGCTGAGCATTCGTATAGATGTGGTCCAGTGGGATCTACGCCACCTAAAGCAAACTTTCGAACCAATTCTCAATGTGATGCATCCTTCCCATTCAAAGCGCAGTTTGCTTTCAATTTAAACTTTTGTTTTCGGGACAAAAATTCTGCTACTAGTATCAAAACTGTTGAAAAATGGAGCAGACATCAAATGAGTATCATGACTCATAATTCGCACATCAAAATTTTACGGTGTGCGGAGTCTGCAAACTGCTTGCTTGTACTATCCCATTTTTAAAAATGTTTGTGCTGGTCGAAGCCAATCGCCGCAAGATAAAATGAAAGTTCTACACTCACCTAAACGACGGCTAGTTTATAGGCCTCCACATTTTGGCTACTAGCAAAATCCCAACATTTTACAAGCTCGAAGACACTCAAAATTCAGGGCTCCCAAAATAGAAGTCAAACATCTCTGTATTTAATACAATGAACAATCCGGAATCAACCAAAAAAAGCTCTCGGAATTACTAAATCTTTGAAGAATAACTGATAGTTCTACAGGAATTAAATAAGGTAAAGTTTGAACTCGAGACTATAAACAAAACGTTGCCTCTAATGGAACAAAAGGGACCAAAAACTTACCAATCAGAAGGTAAGCTCCAACATATCCTTGATAATTGAAGAGATGCTGCTTGGCATGGCGAAGAGCTGTTATAACACGAGCCTTCCTACCGGTGTTGAGCTCCATCAAACGCAGTGTACCCGACAGCATTTTGGTAACCTTTAAAAGTCACTTCATGTTCAATAAAAAGTTGCTTCATGTCCATAGACAACAAATCCTGCTCGAGCTCTGTCCTGTTACTTGACAAGCTAATCACAGATATCCTGCTTTCGCACATTAACGCAACTCAAAAGTTACATACGACAAATACGCGATGATCGAGGTCCCGAACTTGTTCGGAAATGTATTTTTACGAGTGTAAGAAGAACCTCTATATGAACGATGTTACATCAGAATTAGCATGCGAAAAACACCTGCACGATTTCTCAAGCAAATTTCCGCTCGATCATTGGTTAGCCGTTACGCTATGAAGCGCTACCGTGCGAGGATGTGTCACCCATGAGCACCGTCAAATAACCTCAGAACGATATCTTGGCAAAATTCAAAGTGTAAAATCTTGAAGCCTAGTATGACGCGGAAAAAGAAGCCGAGCATTAATGAAACAAACCTGATCAAGGTCTGCAGCAGTTCCTGCACCACATGCATAGATTGATTCTGTCAAGAAATGTACTTTCTCACAGTGCTTGTCAGCTATAATGTTCCCAGCGGTAGCGCGAGAGTCTGCTCCCATAACAAGGCCATCCTGAACGCTATTGTCTGTACAATGCTAAAGCTTCATGAATCTTTACCTTATAAGTCGAAGCAACGATTGTAGTTCCAGTTGAGCGAACCCTAGGCGCTGGAACTCCCATTCGGGTGAGTGCCATGTTGCGGATGCAGTTTGAAAAATCAAATGCCCCACCCTTGTCCAGCTCCATGTCGAGCACCTTCTGCTGCACTTCGGAACAAGCCATCTAAACATTTCCATAAAACTCAAGAAAACCAAAGAGTGATATCGGAAACAGAGAGCCAAGCGATACGATTTTTCAAAGATATCTGAAGCGAAACTTCGATACAGATTTCGAATGATGATAATCACGAACCAACCAACAAATAGTAAACTTTTCTATGAGCAGAAACTTAGCTTGAAAGAATTGTCATTCAACGACGTGGCGATTGAAGCACACTTCAGCGTTGGAGCGCGCATGCTGTTTGGCGACCACAAACTTGAGGAATCCTTTCGTCTTCTCTTTTCTGTTGCCAGAGTTTATTTCCTAGGTGCTTCAGCGTCTGTTCTTTTATTCGTTATTGTAGTATTTGTGAAATACTTCCTGATAGCGTAAGTTTCAAAATTACAAACAACTTGTAAGCAATATACCAAATTTTTGCAACAAACAATTCAAAACATGTTCTGCTGAAGGGCAGTAAATTCTGCACACAACAAATTGCCTTTTACCTTTTGCTTATGCTTTTTACGCGAAATATCGTCCTTTCCTTTTGCTTAGACGCCAAAATCTCATACCACATTCTAGTCGTTGTTCAAAATTCTCATTTAGCCTTTTAACATTCCGCTTCCATTTTCCGGATAATTTCCCTTTTTTTTTGTTTAACACTATAAGGATCCCACGAGTATGAGTATGACCTGTAATTTGTGCACAGCTTCACATTGCCGTAGTTGCACAAATTACCTATCTTACGACACTTCTACAAATTTGCTCAAATGTTGTTTCTTTATTTCTTTCTCTGCTGCCTCGCTCTGTTTTCTTTCTATATACAATATATTGAATTGAAATTAGTCTTATCCCTATTTTTTGTCCCTGTGCGCCTTGGAACGACTTCAAACACTTTGTTGATGATTTATGTATCATCAACCTCAACAATTCTATAATCGTAATAGCTTACGGGTATTCCCCATAGGCTATATTCCCCAATCGCTTATATTTAAGTGCCGAATCACTCACCAGTGAGTGGCACCTATCTTCCAGGGGCCGCGCCAAGCCGCGGCATCCTCTTTCTTGCATATATTTCCTGGACAGTCTGATTGTGCACGGGTCAGCTCCGCCTTACTACCTATATAAGGAGCCCCCGATTGTATTATGGGTTGCTCCCCGGTCCAAAACCGGGTTCGTCTGTGGATAAATTATTATCGACACCACTATCGTCTACGACACTTGGTTCCCACCAAATTGGTGCATCGACCAGTGAAACCACCTCGTATTCCATCTGCAATCGGAGGAATCGAGGCCACAAGACCCGCGTGGCAGGAAGAAGAACCAACCGACCATCTGAAAATCTTTGTGTATCCTTTTCGTAAGCGATCCAAAGAGGTGTAAGAGAAATCGGAAGGAATACCACTGACTATCTGAAAATCTCTGTGCATCCTTTTCGTAAGTGATCCAGAGAGGTGTAGGAGAAATCAGTCGGTCGTGTGAACTATTCTTGAAAACTCTCTGTGCATCCTTTTCGTAAGCGAACCAGAGAGTGGGAAAGAATCAGTGTTACCACACAACCACAGACAACTTGGAAACTTTCTGTGTATCCTTTTCGTAAGTGATCCAGAAAGTGAAAGAGTAGTCAAGTGAAGCACATAATCACATTAATACGTGAAACTTTCTGTGTATCCTTTCCGTAAGTGATCCAGAGAGCGGAACAAATTTTGTGAGTGCAGCACATAACCACATAAGACCGTGAAACTTTCTGTCAATCCTTTTCGTAAGTGATCCAGAGAGCGGAACAAATTTTTGTGGGTGCAAATTTCCAATCAATCTCATAGATCTCTCGCGAATCCTATCCAAGGACCGGAGATCAATACATTGAGATCTGAAGGGAAGGTAACTTGAGTCACAAGAGCTCATTTTGCCAAAAAAAGTCAAAGTTCGACCAAGAACTCTTGACTTCAAGGATCGAAACCCAATCCTTATCTGGTCAAGGTCCAAGCCACCTTACCAGTCAGCACAGCGTTCAAGCCACCCAGGCACGCTTGCTCATCAGAGATCAGCACACAGCTGTCTCTATTCAACAACACCACTAACAAGCCTGCAAGTTTGCGAAAACCTCGCTACTTGTATACCAAAGAAACAGCAAAGCAACCAACTTGCTGTAGGACAAAAAGAAAAGAAGTCGGAATTGAATCTCGAAGATGGCCGCGCTTCAACTTTTCAAAATCAGGATCAACAATGCCTGCAAACTCGTAAAATCGCACGAGTCACAAATTAATGACATTGATGTTCCCTTCACATTTCCTGCGATAAAAGAACAATGTGAGCTGTACATTAAAGAGAAAACAGGAGTAATAACTAATCTCCTAAACTCTTTGCATAACGCAATGAAGCTCCAAGAAACGCAAACCAGTGCTGCTATGGAGTACATCAACACACGGAATGATGAGGAAGAAAGGGAAAAGCTGATGACAGAACTCAGCAAGCACTTAGAGCTTGAATCATTTGATCTAGAAGTGGTTGTAGTGGAATGGCAGACTAGGATACAGTTCAGACAGCATGAACTGAGGGAGCAAATGACACTTTTGCACACGCCTGCTCCTAGTATCCCAAGCCAGTCAGCTAGCGAGATAGAAGAAGCTCAACAACGGAACGAAGTGAACGCCAGATCAATATCCGGAAACCGCTCCTAGAGATTCCTACATTCTCTGGCAACTTCAGAGAGTTCAACAGTTTTTGGACAGTGTTCGAATCACTCATTCACTGTGACGAAGACCTCTCGGATAGCGACAAATTCCTTTTTCTGAGGCAAGCTCTCAAAGGAAAAGCTGCTGCGGCTCTAAACTACATCCCCGTCGTTGGAGACAAGTACAAGACGGCCGTAGACATCCTGAAGAAGCGCTTTGACCGGTCTGCCAACATGGCAGATATACTCATCAACGAAATCGAACGACTTCATAGAGCAAAAGACAGTCCCGAAAGTTGCCGAGAAACGTTCGAAGCAATCAATTCACGGATCATCCACTTGGAACAAACTGGAATGAAGATGAGCGCAGACAGAATTTGGCGCAGAATGATTCTGTCCAAATTTCCTGAAGACATCTGCGCAACCGTCATACAGAAGGAAACCGTATGCGGCGATCGCTTCAATGTTTCCGAGATTCTAGACGCAATCGACGACATCATCTTTCTTCGGGAAACGACCGCACTAACGATGAAGACACTGCTTCCAAGCACCTCACATACGAGCGGCCATCAGAACACAGATAATGAATCGGAATGGGAAGAGGAGAGAGGAAATCTCGTGCAGTCTCCATTTCCTATGAGCAGCAATCATCATTTGCATGTCTCTAGGATGCAGCGAAGAATCAACTCAGATCATCGAAAAGCAAATGGAGTACACGTTGCACGAAGCCCGTCGTATGGAAACGAAGTCTGCAGCTCAAGCAAAGAACTACCCGTCGTGCGCCAAAGCGTACTCCAAATGGCGTCGGCAATGATATTCAACGAGGAACATTGGGATTATCAACCCACAACAATACTGATTGACTCCGGCGCACAGCGAAGCTTTATCAAATCAAAACTTAGTGAAGAGCTCAAGCTGCCAGTTATCCATACGAAGTCATTCACCACATCAGGAATGGGAGAATTGAAAGAGACATTCAGTTCCAATGAAGTACGAATTACTCTGAAAAGCTTTCACAACGCAAAGAAGCTTAAGAAGATATCAGTGCACACGAAAGACAAGTTGACTGCCAATCTACATACAGCACATCTCACAGATGCAGATGTTCAGTTCATTTCCAATAAGAACTTGAAGATAGCTCAAGATAGGCTCACTCATAAAAGCGTCTTGCCTGAACTCATTATTGGACAAGATCTTCTCAACTTCATCACTGTTCACACCGAAACAGTGCTCAAGCTTCCTTCGGGGCTCGTCTTAACCCCAACCATCTTTGGATATGTCATATCCGGTACAAGCCGTACCAACGTGAGCACAGAGATCGTTGGCACTTTTGGTTGTACATCAACGATGCAGGAAGACTCCAAATCCGCCCCTCACCCTCAACGACACGTCAAATGGCTGACGACGAAGAAAACGGGCACCAATTTCAACGAAAGCAGTACACATGCAATCAACAGGAGAATTCTCCAAGCGCATGCTGAAGTAACATCACAAAAGGCAACGAAGTTGTTACCGAAAAAGAGGAAAAGGCGGACAGCTGCTTTCAACCGCAAAGCTAAGACAGACAGACAACGCTGGCTGGCCAAAGTTGGCTGCATATTAGGCTCTAGTTCCAGCTCCAACACGAGGATTGCGAATGGAACTCTTGCCAGAACACTTCGACCCACGTCACAAGCTAACATAAAGATGACGGACATGCCAAAGATCACACACCACAGACATCTGATGACGGAAACCACGGCTATCACGAAGACAATCACCGATAACGATTCTGTCAACTCAAAATCGACGAGGGCAGAACCGACGAGGAAGAAGAGACGACGACGAAAGGCGAAGCTACACCACGGAACAGCAACCACCAACCACTACAATTGATCACCGTTAATTCTCTTCTGTCTGTAGCTCCCATAAGTATGTCTAAGCCTATACAAATCTATGCATTTTTTGTATCTTGTGCTTACCAGATTAACTTCTTGCTTGCTCGCCCGGAGTGTTGATGATCTATGAATCATCAACCTCGACAACCAATCTAATAGCTTACAATTATGAACACAGCTATATCTCAATTTCTAAGTACAAATGCTTTTAGGAGGTTTTGATTGTATTTATTTATTTACATCTCAACAGATTTCGCCTCCTTCTTGCTCGCCCGGAGTGTTGATGATTTATGTATCATCAACCTCAACAATTCTATAATCGTAATAGCTTACGGGTATTCCCCATAGGCTATATTCCCCAATCGCTTATATTTAAGTGCCGAATCACTCACCAGTGAGTGGCACCTATCTTCCAGGGGCCGCGCCAAGCCGCGGCATCCTCTTTCTTGCATATATTTCCTGGACAGTCTGATTGTGCACGGGTCAGCTCCGCCTTACTACCTATATAAGGAGCCCCCGATTGTATTATGGGTTGCTCCCCGGTCCAAAACCGGGTTCGTCTGTGGATAAATTATTATCGACACCACTATCGTCTACGACACTTGGTTCCCACCAAACACTTCATTTTTTTTCGAAAAGCTCGGAGTATCGTGTTTAAACTCAGAAAGCATAGAAGTGAGTTTGAGAAGTACTCAAAAAAGTCTGTCTGGCGCTTATCATGGCTAGATGGGTGTATAGTGATCCCGACCGTAATGCTGTCAGGGCATTGCTTGCATGCTGACCGCCATTGCGCACGACGCATTCTACGACAGCTTTTGCCTACAGTCCCCGGATTAGGCGGAACATTCCACGAGGAGCGGCGCGTGCGCACCGCTAGAGGCTTCGCGAGCGCATAGCGGTGGCATTTTGCCGAGCAAAGACTGAGGAGAATGAACAGACGCAGACCTCGCTTCTCAGCACGATAGGTTATACTGTAGCTGCAAAACGGCGCGAGCTGTTGCGAGGCGGACGCCCGCCAATCCAATTTCCGCCTAAAGCGGGTCGAAATTCACTGTAAGCAGAAGGAAGGAGGAGGGAAATTTCGCCGCGTCAGCTGGCGCTGAAGTGGTCGGATGTCCATGGTCATAGAGTCTAGATAGGAAGATGAACTTTAGTTCTTTGGATCTCGGTAGACATAGGACTAAATAAAAGTTCTTGTGCAAAAGGTGGAGAACACACTTTTTTGCACCAAATCATCAAAGAAAGAGCGCTGATTAACTTACTCTCACTCAACACTGAGCCACTGTGAGATGTTCAGAATCTTTCCAATGAGGACTCATGGACTAGGCAGTTTACGAGTAGTGCTTCACAATCGGTCAGCTAAAATTTCATGGGGAGTTACCTACCCGAAAGATTTGCAGCAGCATACTTCAGAATACATGAGCAGTCAGATACGCAATTAGCACCTAATTAGCATTGTAGGCAGAAATGATCTGTAACACACAGTAGGCTCCACCCTGAGGCCGCGTTCCTACTGATCCAGCAAGTTGAGTTCACATACACAACGAGTTCGCTGTGTATTCTTCAAAAATTAATGGCTATTCATCTGATTGGGTGAAAATTGGTTGTTAGAGGCAGCGTTCACCCAAAATCTATTCACCCCAGATTACTACTTATGCTACTAGCAGGCCCTAAAAGTAGACAATCGCGTTGATTCGATCCATTAATGTTGCCTACAAAAGGCATTACGGACCGGATCTTTTTTGGCCTCCGCCCCTTTTTTCGCGCTCTACCCACCACGGACTGCCCCGAGCCGTGTTCTGACATGACAAGGAACGTCGAGACGCATAGTTTTTGATGTGGCACTGTTGCACACGACGGGGTTTCCTGTAGCATACGACGTGACTAGCGCCGGGGCACTCGTTCGCGTCTGCCAAATTAGGGCGTGAGAAAAGGGCAGTTTTTGAGTTTTTTTGGTTATTTGAACCTCATGTCCCGATTCAGCGCCATGGGAAGGCCCGATAAGCAAAAGCATAGAGTACGAAATTTTGGTACGCTGTCTTTAAGGGTTTTTCATCACGCTCTTCCCGAATGTGGCGGTGGTTTTGCTACGTACTTCCAAAATATCCCTGAGTTCAAGTTTCCTCAAAAATTCACTGCATTTTGAAATTATTGATACTTAGGGTTTTTTCCACGCTGTTTCCAAATATGTTAGTGGTTTTTCTCCTGTCGGTCGATAATTTCTTGACTGCAAACAACTTTTGAGAAAATTTCGAAGTAAGTTCTAGGGTCTGCATAGTATAAAACCTATTAATCAAGCATATTTAGGTTCGGCTTTTCTGAACATGACAACCTTTTTCTTTTCAGTTTCCCCAAATTCGCAGTGAAGTTACGTAGAAAACTTTGAATTGAAAAGTTTTTTGGTAATGTGAAACAACCACTGGCATATTCGGGGAAAGCGTGATGGAGAACCCCTACCATTTCCCACACTAATCGGATGAAATAAGTACAAAACTTCGAGTTGACACATCGAAATCCGTTTTCATGTTTTTCTGGATCAAGGTGGAGCCTACTGTGTGCTACAGATCAGCTCTACCTATAGTGCTAATTAAGTGCTAATTGCTATCTGACTGCTCCGGCAAGCCTTTCGAGTAAGTAAGTTTCCTCACCCACGAACGAATAATTGTAAAAGGCCTGCCCTTCTATCTCTGATGTGTATTTTGAGACTTTAGAGACCAAAAGGAACTGTGTATCTCTTCGAACACCTCAAAAATCTTAGATCAGTCTTTATAGTGGAATTCTGCTGTTCCTTTTGCTAGAGGATGCGACTGCACGGCGTTCCCAAAAATGATTGATCGTTTATAAATCTCTAGTCTAATCAACTTCTGCGCATCTTTACTCATTTGACATGCTTTTAGGCTTGTATGTGGCTAGGACTGCTTCAATTTAGACTTACAGTAGGGAACGGATTGAATTCTATCTATCACGGTTTGTTCACGGTAACGATTTCAAATTTTTAATAATGATAGCAAATATTGCCTCAAGAAATTGTCAGAAGAAACTTGGATTTCTGTTAATGAACAACTTGGTTTTGCTAATTGTAGAAATAACATATCTTTTAGCATGACCTCTATGTCATCAGGCTTTTTACACGTTTAAGAACCCCACTAAAAGTTTTTTTTCTTGATTTTTGCAAAATTATCGGAATGGTAGCTAATTTGCATGGATGCCAGCTCAGAGTTCCTACCGTATCCCCAGAGTAATGAAGAGAGATTTGACACATTCTTCGGACACTACATAGTTTGACGATGAGTTGGAATTCCGTTGATTAAGGTTACTTCTGTTAGGTAATATCATCTTTGCTCCAATTTCTCTCGTATTCCGATATCACACTTCTTCATAGTTAAACTGTGATGAATCAGTGAAGTTGAGCGACGCGGAAAATCGCACTTCATTCAAAATTCTTTCCTTCCGTATCTAAAAAGAAAGAGATTATTGCAGATATGTTACGGCGAGTCATCTTGCCGTGTTCGCCGATTTGCCAGTCGCGCCTGCTTTCTTCGCTCCCATCAACTTCCCGTGATGATTGCAATGAGCTCAATAAGAACGTAGTGGATGGCATCGCACATGTGACTTCGCTGAATATCCTAACTCGAGAGCGATCGGTTGTGCGCTTGAAACTTGCGGAGTCGCAGAAGATCAGAAAAATCAGGCACGTTACTACTATTCTCATTTTTCGTATGAATTTTCACATGAGGCAGCGGCGGAACGTGGGGGGGGGGCTCCCTCTCTCCAAGAAAGGATTGCGAAACATTTGAAAATCACTTACTGAGTTGCAAAAACGTGCAAGTGACTTGTTTACACTTGCAAATGATTGAGATAATTTTCATTTTTTAAAGATTCAAGTTAGCGTTGTAAAAAGTTTTTTTTGCGGCGTGGTTGTCGCCACGCTCCTTCTTTCATAGTTCTTAAATTTGGACTAGAAAAATTCGAGAGGTATCTTGTAGAAATAATCGAGAATCAATTCTGCCCCCCCCCCCCGAAGGAATTCCTGGGACCCTAAAATGATGTAATTCCATTTATTGTTGCACGATAGATTACATCCGCTTTCTTCCGGAATCAGTCAAGAACATATTTTATTCCCATTCTGGTTTGAAGACTGTAACTATACCATGCAAAATTTTCCACACCCACGGTGCGAGTCAATTTAGAGAAATCAACAGTTCAAGCAGGGTAAAATGGTGGTGCTTTTAAGATGCTATGGTTACAATTTTGAGACGAGCGAGAAACTAGTCTATGTAACCCGGTTGTGCAACTTGTCGCTTATAAGTAGCTGTAAACATTGAAGAAGCTGTTCGCTGTATGAAGGTGTGCTTCTCTCTGCACGATGGCTCGTCTAGCGTAGAAATTGCAATCTCGATGAAATTGGCAATCACTTATCAGAAGTCATGGATTGAAAAGACAGCGGATTCTTGAAGATTTATCACGAGCTCTAAAGAATGCTTTGTTGCTGTTCGTTATCCTACTAGGTCCCACTTATGATTTGTGAATTAGTCAATAAAGAATTTCCTAATCGACAACGAAATTTTTTGTTAGTAAATGATTGAAAATATGTGAATCTTACAAAAAAATAAACAAACTATGGGAAACTTTTTTGGGAAAATGAGCTTGCATAAAACCTTTCCGGGGGCATGATTATTCCTTTGCTTCGGAGTTTTTTCCACTCCGCGAAAATTTTTTTTTCGTGAGCGCCACCGATACTATTGGAATTAAACATTTACTTCAGCCTAAACAAAATTTAGAGAGCGTAGGTATGTTTCCAATAGTCTCTTGTTGCCTTGTTCTTGAGTCGATCAGCGAAGTTGCATTCGAAATTGAAGTTTTATGACTAGTCTTATGTGAATATTTTTGCAAGGAAGTTCAGAATGATTTTTTTTGCTAGTATCATAGTTATCGTCGAGGACCTCTTTCAGAAGACAGTATGCTGTGCCTGAGCCTGCACTTGCCGGCCTTAGATCTGCTCTTATTTCTTGTAGTCGACCACCGAAGCAGCTACAGCATGAAGCAGATCAACTAAGTGAATATTTAGCGCAAAGAAGGTATCCCTCCCAAGTTCTTCTTTTGGAACCTAATGGATTCCTACTGTGCATGCCTAGGTTTCCTGCTCCTCCTTCTGTAGTGAAACAAGCTCGAGATAAAATTAAAGAGATGTTGAAACATCAACAGGTCGACGATGGAATCGAGGATCTTGTAGAAAAAGACAAAGTTAGTTTCACACAGTATTTTTCTACACCGTTCCAGATTTTCGTTCAGGAAACTCGAATTAACTATAAGTTACGGAATGAGGTAGATAAGATCTTGAAAAAGGCTCATTTCAACTGGAAGCCATTGGATATTGAGACTAGGGAAGCAGCTGCAGCTTATGCTTTGTCTAGGTGGGGTTTTTTACGACGAATATTTCCAATGCAATTTTGCTTGTTTAGGCTTGCTCCTAATTACGCAGAGATTGCTCGGGTTTTGGATGAGTTCGACCGATCACAGTTTACACCTTCAACTGTCTTGGACTACGGTAGTGGAATTGGTGCAGGTGCATTCTTGGCGGAGTCTTTGTCTTATCTTTCTGTTGGTTCCAAAATCTTCCTTTGTTAGGTTTTTGGGCGGTGAACGAAAGATTTGGCACAAATGTGAAAAATTACTGCATGGTGGATCCTTCACCGAGCATCACTCAGTTTGCAATGGATATCATGAGGGTGAGCATTCTTTACTTTTGCGAAACAGTTTGGAACAATTTGTTCAGGGAGAAACGAATGATCTGCTTTTTCGCAATGTGAGCTTCCGTCGTCATCTTGTACCATCCTTGCAAACAAAGTATGACTTGGTCATTGCTCACAGGACACTGTGCGAACTTGCTTCGCAAGAATCTCGCCTTGATCTTGTCGCCTCATTGTGGAAAAGAACAAACAGGTTATTTGCTTTTTTTAGTGGCTGAATATTTATTCATTTACTCATTTTTTTTAATACATACGGGTTGACCAATAGAAATGGAGGTAAAGCATTACCAAGACCGATTTATATGACGTCATAGGACGGTAAATGCAAGAAGGATGGTAGTTACAAGGGTATATCAAAAGTAATGAGAACTTCAAATGTCTTCTTGCACCTATCTTCGAATCAGATAGGGTATCGATGGACAACTTCTCCAAACAGTACCCGGTGCAGTTTTTATTTCTCTTTCCAACAGCTATGAATTCCTACCAAGTCTTTCCATAATTGGTGAAATAATCGCAGAAGTTTTGAACACGTAGCGTCAGCGTTCATCATAGTTATGGATAGGTGCGTTCAAATTGAAACTGTGATATTTTGAAACGGTAAACGCTTGACCACTTTGCAAAACCAAGGTTTGATGATAAACGACTGTTGAAGTTTCCGAGAATTGAGGATTTCATGAGATTTAGTGCATTTTTGTTTTGCTCAACTTTTCAAAATTTGAGGGGTTTTGGAAACCCAAAAGGCTAGTTTCAAAAGACCTCAATAATGATTTCTACTAAGCAAAGCCTGCGTTGTCTCTGTGTCATCAGGATTTTCTGAGAAATTCTGAGAACATTTTGAGAATTAGCTAAAGTTACCCTAAGCAAGAACGATGGGCTCGGAATTTTGGGAACTTTTTCCGCATCCATGAGAGAACTTGGTCTACATAGTAGAATACTCATATATCGTGATTCTACACAATTTGCGGAAGGATTAAAATGAAACGGGAAAAGTTCGCATTACTTTTGACTCAACCTAGTAAAATAGTCGTGAATCCACTTACTCAGCGGAGCGTTTTGAAATTTAGTGATGAAATGACGACCCCGAGATTTGTCTCAAAAAGTTTATAGCCATATTCTGTTTTACCTTTTTTTTCAGATTCTTAGTTCTGATTGATTCTGGATTACGCGATGCATATGAAGCATTGATAGAGGCACGCGACTTCCTTTTGTGCTCGGGCACACAGTTACATTTGGATGAAACAAGATCTATACTTAAGGTGTGTTCAGTGACGTAGATTAGCGTAATTTTGTGAATATCATCTTTAGGAGAAAAATCTTCTGTCTGATAGCATCGAATCTGTGCTGCGGGATCGGAGTCTAAGTGACTTTGAGAGATTCTCTCTTGTTCGAGACATGGTTTGTTATCTTCAGTCACACCAATGTATAAGTCAAATTTATGTTGAAGGTACCAGCAGATATCACTCTTCCGACAGCTCTGGAGCCAGCAACGGTGTACGCTCCTTGTCCGCACGATCTTGGATGTCCAAAATTAGGAAATAGGTCTGACATGCTGTTTCCAGCTTTTTTGCATTAATTGTATCAACATCTTTCAGTGTATGCTCCTTTCCTGTGAGATGGCAGGTCATACGTGCTGACGGTAAAAGATCTCCACGTGAAAAATCAGGATCAGAAACTGGAAAATTTTCGTATATGATTCTTGAGAAAGGCTTCCGACAGCCAGAATCAATTGTTGCACGGATACTGAAGGTGAGACAGAGTACTAAATGAACAAATCTCTCTAAAGTCTGGTGGGAGAGTAAGGACAGTTACGGTAGAGCGTTTGCGGGTCAATAGTACTATGGCGCGTTTTGCTAATTTCCTCCGCAATTTTTTCCAAGCATATTTACTGACATTCATTCGTCGAATCAAAAGTATTTTCACTTGTCCCACCTCATTTGCTACTTCTCAAAACTGAGACCTAGCTGTAACAATTCCCCGGGCGCGAGGAAAGGAAGGGTGGGAGGGCCATCCAGAAGCGGGACGCTTCTGCATTCCTTCATTTCCTTGAGTCGCCATTTTACAGAGAGCTAAGCGTCACTTTTGCTCAGTATTGCCCAGTATTTGTATTAGGCCGAACAAAGAGTCGCGCCGCTTCAAATCTGAGATTCGTAACTACTCCGTGAACGTATTTGTTTGAACTTCACCAAAAACAATATATAATCATCTACTTTTTGATAACATCTTCGCAATTCTTTGATACCAACTTCAGATAGGAGAGCCACTCTAGCTCTCGATGTTTCGAAATATCGCCAAAAACTGCAAAAAAAAATCTGAAAACATGTACTTTAGAATCTACGTGAGATGCATTTTAGCAATGCGAAGTTTGTGCAGATGCAAAGTTAGATATGGAGGAATTGCGAAAATGGCAAATATAATTTTTTTGCATCCCGCATTTCGTCATAACTTTTCATAAAAAAGCTCGATCAATACCATTTTTAGAAGGGAGCTTGCGTAGATTGTAGAAAATATGTTTTTAGATTTTTGCAGCATTTCATATTTTTGGCGATTTTCTTAGAACATCAAGAGCTAGAGTGGTTCTCGTGCTTGAATTTTTATCTCTGAGTTTCTTATCATGAAATAACGGCGAAGATATTGATAGAAAGATTTTTTCATTGGTAAAATGCTTTCTAAGCAAATCCGTTTGCATATGGAGCAACTTCGAATTTTTCCAATTCAAAGAAATAGATCTTTTCGTTTAACCTTGATACAATTACTTTTCTGTATTGGACGTGGCATAACCAAGAAGTAAAACGCCAGAGGCATAAGTGCCAATGATACCATATTCTACTTCTTGTAAGCAATACAAAATTTTACATCTCATTGGTTGCGTCATTGAACAAATTTTGCGCTAAAGCAAGCTTGCATAAACAATCGGCATCACTGTGTCCATACCTGACATTTGATTTTGATGTCCTTTTCATATATGAGTTTCTTCACCATATGATTGCTTTAAGCCTTTGTAAAATTATATTTTAGATAACACATTCAAGTGGTCACGTCACTTGTGATCTTTGCACGAAATTCAAGGGGCTACAAAGGGTTGCTATCTCACGAAGAACGGGGGAACTTTATCAGCGTACAAGGTCTCGAAGAGACGGTGAACAATTTCCTTTGGAGGAAGAAACCGTTGTTACAGAAAGTTTGTTTGATCTGTGCGATCTGAAGAATAATAGTAAAAACATACAGTAGATGAAGTTATATTGTTATTGATTTATTGTTTTGTTGGTAAGGTTTTATCCATGAATTTATCATGTTTTCATTGATTTCATTGGTTGAGTACTACAGAGGTTTCTGACGCAGAAGTTCTTGATACGTGACGTTAATGAAGATGTTAAATATAGTAAATTCATGCCCGACGTCCCTATGGGGAAGAGGGGGGGGGGGTGTTGATAGTACTGTGTTGCTTTCTGACGTATGTCATCGCTATGATAGCGTCATCATATATGTATTGAAGCTATTTAAAAGCAGCAAAAAATAATAGGGACACGGGCAGGACAGTTGTTATTGATGACAATTATTCTAGCTAGAAAACTGGTACATTAACCACTTCCTTCTAACGTCTAGCTGGTTGCCTCATTAGCCTCGAATATGTTAATTTCATCTTAGCATCAGAAAAGAGGTAAAAAGTAAAAATATGGCTGCAGCTTAGACGAGTTCTATGGAGGCTGCGGTTTTGCGTTCCAACTTCCCCGTATTGTTTCGCGAAATTCTACGAAATCCTCTTTGACTCTCAGCTCTAAACGTTGAAAACCCTCGAAAAACGAAACGTCGACTAATAAAAAAATTTCGCAATTTTTGGCCACAAAAACAGTTCCCCTTTGCCTTCGCCCCCAAAAACGAAGTCCGGCCTGCTTCCTTACGATCTGTGCCGGGCTCTGAGTTCATAAGCCGGCATACTTGGTTGCTAATGAGAACTACTGCACCTCGAGCAATTGCATCTTCGCTTTTGATAGGCAAACAAGAGAGTTATTAAGACTCAGTCTTGTTGTCAACAACCAGAAATGGTTTATCGAATCAACCTTTGCAAGGAATATGCTATTCTTATGAATACTATGTGCTTCAGCATGTTATTCTCGTGCAATTAGAATTGGAGAATTAGTCCTTCCAAGTCCATGGTGAACGTAGTTTCTCTAATGATAGTTGACGCGGAGTTTTGGAAATTGCTGCATATATTGTTCAACTAAAGAAAAGAAAAGTGGGAAGGAAAAAATGTCAGATCTTAGATTCTAATCACTGCTGTGAATTGGCTTGAATTACAAATTCTCAATAGTAATCGAACCATTACTTTTGCAAATCATTCATTCGAGAAAAAATTTTACTGGTAGTTCCTAACGAATTTAAATGGCACAACTAGACTCTAACAAACATGTGCACGAGGATATATGTGGAGGAGAAGAAGACTTCTGCTTCCTGGAAGTTTATTTAACACTTTACATGCTCCCTCTAATGGTCGTGAAAAAGGTGGAACGATTCTATTTATGCTAGGGGAGACAGCAGCAGCCCAATAATAAACAGTATATAAATGGAAAGTCATGTTATTGACTTACTTGCAACTTAGTGAAAGGCATCTTGGAGCAATTTACCTACATATCATTACGCTCTTCTTGTGCTTTCCATTATTTGTTGAGATTAGCGAGTCTTGACATAAACTAGTGAACCAGTAATTGAAGGTGCTTACAGTGCGCTCGGTTCGGGACCGCCGCGCCGTTTCTCGCTTTTCCACTATTTCAAAACTTCGCTTACGATTTTATACTATTAGATGCGCCATAATGAAGTATATCCGATTTTTCTGACTGATTTGTTTAGCAGCGTCCAAGATTGGTACAGATATTTATTCCACAATAAACAGACTGACGTGTCGGCAAACTCGCCTTCATCAGGGTCTGAAAAGTCGAAAACACATAAGTGAACTATCCGATCAAATACCTTATCGACTACAGAAAAGAGCCCAACCCTCTAGAAAAGCAACAGTATCAACCAAAACGCAAGATTAAGCTAGTGCTCACCTTAACAGATAATAGATTTGGTGGGTGCAGATCTGTAATATCTGCACCAATCTTGGACGCTGCTAAACAAATCAGTCAGAAGATTCAAACTATGCCAAGATTTATGGATAGTCGAAAATGGATTCTCATATCCGATTTATTTGCTTTTTTATCTCTTTTGCGAAAAAAGCAACGAAAACAGATGAGTAATTTCCTGTCTGTCGACACACCGGAACAGATATGAAAGAGAGAGCAATTTTCACTTTCCATCTCAGTCGACATTCTTTTCATCATTCTTGTTAGACCACACCAAAAAACTTTCCAAAACTCACTCAGGGCTCGGCACGAGGTGGCTTTTGCAAAATGCAAAAAACGAAGTTCCCCTTAACTTTCGCGTTTTACGAAGTCCCCCTTGACCCCAAACACTAAACGTAAAAAACCCTCCAAAAACGAGAACACGCATGTTTTTCCGAAGCTGTGAGATAAGCAGGGTCAAGCAAGGGGTGTGGCACACGATCGCTGGTTACGATCCCCCCCTGATTGCTGTCTTAATAAGACCCCCCCCCCTGGACTATACCCTTAAGATAGCATTACTTGGAGGCCCTGTCAAACATAATGGGCAGCATATCCATAATGAGCATGTCAATTAACCCCTGTAGACAAAGTTTGAGCGAATTCTGAAGATTCAAGATACTAGGCTACCTAAGTGAAATGGTCAAATTCCAACATGGTTAACTTTGTTTCAAAGGTGAATTAGCTATCCGTTTTCGCACTCAAGACAAAGCACTACTCCTTCTTTGTCCATCTCAGGAATCCCGCTTCAGAAGACCTCCAAACTGTGGAATTAGAAGCCAACCAAAATCTCGTTTTTCCCATTTTTCGCTTTTGATCGCTGTGCTTTCACCAAATATTACTCACAGCTAAGAAGACGAATCAGGCTCAAATCACTCCTGTGAAAACTAGGTGATCTAGGCTATCGATCCATATAAATACTGTCCGCTAAAAGTGTTTTTTTTTTTTGATATAGTTAATGGCCTGCGGCACCCCCCCCCCTCAAAACCTGCGGCAGCCGCAGATTTTGAGGGGGGGGGGGGGTGCCGCAGGCCATTAACTATATCAAAAAAAACATTTTTAGCGGACAATATTTATATGACAGTAGCCTAAACCACGTAGATTCCATAGGAATGTTTTGAGCCTGATTCGTCTTCTTAGCTGTGAGTAATATTTGGTGAAAGCACAGCGATCAAAAGCGAAAAATGGGAAAAACGAGATTTTGGTTGGCTTCTAATTCAATCGTTTGGAGGTCTTCTGAAGCGGGATTCCTGAGGTGGACAAAGAAGGAGTAGTGCTTTGTATTGAGTGCAAGAAGAGGTAGCTTACTCACCGCTAAGATGAAATTAATCATGTTTTAAATTACTGCTTTATACAAGGTTGTTTACTGCTCGGAGACCTCAGAGTTCGCTGAAACTTGGCGCATAGGGGTTATTCGATACGCGGATTACGACAATTATGCTTGATTAGAGGTACGGTAGCTTACGGTAGGCATACGGTATCTGCAAGTTTGTGTCGTTGAACTTGAATTTTGCAGGATTTCTACAGCGCTTTCATCAAGTCAATTTAGTCACACAGCTTGTACAAGTGCTTTTGACCTTGGGTCGATACGACCCCCCCCCCCCTACCTACCCCCCTGCGGCGTGCCGCACCCCCCGCTTTACCCTGGAGATAAGCTCTTCATGTGTTAGCCCCATAGAAAGCATTTCGTTGGAAAGTGTATCTCAAGCATTCTCCGCCATAAAAGTCAGTGTGTAAAAGTGTAAAAGTGTATGTAAAATCAGTGGCGATTCGAGTATTTTTTTCTGGGGGCGGGGGGGGGGGGGAGGGGTAAGGAGATTTCAAATCGAGAGGCCACGCTTTCGGGAAAGATTGTTGTGATGCTTTTCAAATCTTTCTCAAAACTCTGAAAGAAAGTGGCGCGGCAGCCGAATCCCCGAAAAAATTTTCACAAAGCTAATTCGATTTTTTAATTTCGAAAATTATTTCAGTTACTTACAAGTAGGAGCAATTTACTTGCACAATTTTATACATAGTCCCGAGCAGTTTTCCGCACTCCGTCTGCCAATACTAGGCCTACTAAGAACTGGTCAAATTAAAACATTTTCTTTTTGCCTCTACCTCCGTCGGATCCTTCCACATCGTAGATAAGTAAAAATGTCTTTACACACTACCTCATATTATTCTACACTGTGGCTAAAGTGCAGTCACCCTTTTTTTGTTTTAGTGGTGTTGGGTCTCTAGTACATTACACTTTCTGACTTTGATCAATATTTGTACGAGCAATCGAATGACAATTGATAGATTTATGTAAGTGCATGTCAGCGAGGAATCCAAGTGGTAAATGTCAATGATGATATTTCAAAGAAGTACTCGGGCTACATACGAAAAATTTTGTCCCAATTGAACATGGATGCCCAGCAGAACATCATCGAGCACGAACGAGGACGTTAGTGAACCATTTCAATGGACAAAACTTCGAGAGGAAGGAAAATCCAGTAGCGGTAGAAATTTGGTCGAGACCATCATCTTAACTAAGTTTTCTTCAATAAGAGGCAAACAACAGCTTTACATCATCTTCTCAGTGAAGACACGAGGTAACCAACACCAAACAATGGAGGTGGGCAAATTTGTTTGGTGTTGGTTACCTCGTGTCTTCACTGAGAAGATGATGTAAAGCTGTTGTTTGCCTCTTATTGAAGAAAACTTAGTTAAGATGATGGTCTCGACCAAATTTCTACCGCTACTGGATTTTCCTTCCTCTCGAAGTTTTGTCCATTGAAATGGTTCACTAACGTCCTCGTTCGTGCTCGATGATAGATTTAGCAAAGCGATGTCATTAGGAGATTGAACTTCCAATTCTTTCAATCCATGCTTGACCGCCTTCATTGTACTTTACCAAATTTTGCTGTTCACTCTCTAGCCTTGCAACTTCCCATAACCTTATCTTATCTGTAATCAAATAAACTTCATTGTAGTATATATCATCGGCTTCCAGATTCGTGTGGAGGTGCAGTCTTGCCAACTCACCGCGTGGCGGTTTTTGCTACCGAGAGAGTACCAAAAGCAATGCTATGACGTGGAGGTTTAACAAGTTTACCTGTGTTATCAGGCAAAGTCTGCAATACACCACACGAATCTGGAGACCGATCATAACTTAGGATGATCTCCCTCACTCCTCTCAACGTGCAAAACCATCAATGGTCAAAGGTACTTTTCATTTCAAAAAAATGATGTGATGGTTCCACCCCTCTGGTCTCATAAAGTGCTAATTTCTCTACTCTTCCTGATAACGAAACGATGATGTTAAAGGCAGTGTCCGGACAAAAACTCGATTTTGAGATTTTGTGCTTATCCGGGCCTGTTCGCTACGCTGAATCCGAAAATGCACATTGGAGTGAGCGAAAACGGCGAAAAATGACTCTAATACGGGAGGGAAATTAGCAGGTCTCCCCACTGTGAATTCACGCTCCCAGCTTCCAGAGCAGTTCTCTCGGTTCCGATTTCAAGTCATGCATTCGCACCTGGCCGATGGAGATCCCAGGGCGCTAGAGGAATTGGGAAGATTGCTTCAGAAGCTGGGACTGCGAAATTCACAGTGGGAGAGACCCCGCCCACTTCCAATTTCCCTCCTGCGTTGGAGCTGTTTTTTTGCCGTTTTCGCGCTTTCCAATGTGGATTTTCGGATTTAGCCTAGTGAATAGGCTCGGGTGAGCACAAGATCTCAATATCGAGTTTTTGCCCGGACACTTCCTTTAACCTGCTGATTAAAGTTTGGTTTAGAATGAAACAAGCATGAAACAATTACTGTTTTCTGCTGATTACTTGCTTCTTTCACGGTTTTATGATGTTTTTATGATTATTTATGTATTTTATGACTTATGATTAACATGATGTGATAGTTGCGACCAGATTACTAACACCAAAGTTTTGCAAAATGCTTGTCTTTGCATGTTCTTGGGAGTCTGAAGAAGAGAAATCCATCTGCTTTCGCACTTTAGTGGATTTCTGAAGTATGATCGGATCCCAGATTCGTGTGGAGGCGGGTTGCGGACTTCCCTGATTTTAAGGATAAACTTGACGAGAGAGTACGAAATACAATGCTATAACGTGGAGGTTTAACAAGTTTATTTTGAAAATCAGGGAGTCCGCAACCCGCCTCCATAGGAATCTGAAGCCGATGATACAATTAGAGACATCTGCACATCCGAATGATTCCTCAAACCTGTGCTTTCAAATAAAACAGGAAAGAGTGATTTCTCCCACACATTTGACTCCAATCGCTTTTCGAAAATCTGATTTATAATACTACGGACGAGAAGATAAACAACAGTTCGAGGTTAATACGATGAAGTCATGTTGAGGAAGAATGATATTGATATAGAACAGCAAAGTGACGAGGAATAGCACCTGACTTTACTACGAGGAACTTGAGCAAAAAAAAATAAAACTAATTTATCTGACTAGACTGCCACTACACACGCTCATGCTAGCGCATACAAGTTGGTGTCATCAGTAAATAAGCAAATATTCCCAGTGTGAAATGCAATTCAGATGTAAATTATGATATCCCAGGGTCACAAACAAGCTTTTTCTAGTGCGCTGTAAACCTCCTCCTCTCTATGCAAAAGAGTGATTACACCTACCGCGTCAATCAGATTAGAATGGAAGTGACCTGCTATCAGACTAAGATTAAGCGCTAGAAGTGAAGAAAAAACTATAGATAGGGGGAGTGATCACTGTTCGCAGTCAATTTCCTAAAACTTTGCGATCTACGCTGCAGACTTTGGAAACAGTTTATTTATTCATCAATGTTACAACTAGCGATGCTGACTGAAGACAAGCATAGAACCGGAACTTAACAACAAACCATTATTAAACTTATCTATCGCTAATTTACTCTGACCTCGATCATACCGAGTCATGAATTTCGAATCAACCCGGATGTTTGGATCAGATTTGCCTCAGTCCACTGAGCCATAAACTCCAGTTACTTACACCCGTGGGCTCAATTAAAACAAAACACTGCTACCAGGAGTACGTCACAGAACCTGTGATGAGAACAAGGAGGTAATCCATATCTGAGAGAATGATATGAACTAGAAGAGAAGACAATAATGTGAAAATTGCTACTCCTGTCCCTAGTAGTACGTCTAATCTAACCACACCTATTCAAGGTGAGATGGGCGACGTCGGTTGGTTCACATTCTTGAAAGCGTTCATAACTTTCTCCTGCATTCCTTGTACTTCGCAAGATACTTTGGATGAGATGTCTGAGTACTCATTTTTCAATTGATCTATGACCCATTCAACGCCTTTTCTTCCCTAGAAAAAGACACTTAAATTAAAGAAGAAGTCATCATACTACATTAGGCTTTGGAAAGCAAACCCACCTTCGTAGCATTTGTAGAATAAACCCCTATGAAGGCTTTTTCGCAGTAATCTACGAATGCTGGCAGAGTTATAGTGACGATAGCTTCTTGTTTGAGAATTGTTCTGCAATAAAAAGTGGCACATGCTTGCGTTCAAAAAATCAAAAAACTGATCGCTCAATAAATTCTAAAAGATACTGTCATGCAACCTACGTACTTTGAAGGATCTTCAGGAAGAGGAGTGTAAGTGAGTTTCTCGTCTACACGAAGAAATGAAGAGCAATTAAGCTAAACATGTAAAACTGAGAAATCATAGTAGAAACGTACATCACAAAGAACTCACATTTCTCGTAGTTAGTGACATCGTTCGTTCTTGAGGATCGATAACTGTATATTCGTGTGAGTATTGTGTTCCGGAAAATCCTGTCAACTGAAAACGTGACATTAAAAAGATAAGAATAAGATTCTGAATCAGGGGCAATTAATCAGACAATCAGAGGTTAAAAAGCTTCGATGACAGCTTTTGAAAGAAAAAGTATGTGATTCATATTGAATATGTCAGAGAACAAGACCTCCAAACATAATCGAAAATGTCAGCAAATCAATTAGATGCATCTAAATCGACGTCCGTCACTTTTTCAAGACATGCCGTGGGCTATACATATTGAAGTGACACGCTAATATCATTGCTTTCATCATCTATTGATCAAGAAAAGGGATTGATTCAATCAGGACTACACCTTGACCGGCAGACGCTAATATTTCATCACTGATTGGTTAATAACACGAAGGGCCGTTCCAATTGTGTTTTATGAGCCACCCACGCAATGACTGACGCTCGCAAACCTTTTTTCTTCGCAGTCGCCGTTCACACTACGTTGACGCAATCAGTCATGACAGAAAGCACAATGCAAAACTGCAAGACTTGCGTGCACGTCGAAGAAACATCGACAGGCGAATTTCAATAAACAATTCACTTTTAAGCTACGTGACGTTAAGCAACGCAAGCGAACAGCAGGCCACTTGTAACGAAAACTACCAGCATGCTCTAAAAAGGTGAAAAGAAAAAAGGAAATGCGGCTCGATCGGCTTTGGTGAATGATCTGAGATATCAATTAATATCTTGACATATCCACGACTGCTATTCAGATTCTGTGGTAAGATAACCCTTCCGAAATGCTAAACACAAATGATTCTGCAAAAACACACTTGGAAGCAAAAACCATGGACGATTCAAAGCTTAGCGCGAGGGGAAAGAAATGCCACCGTGTCCCCTCTGCAACTGTCCCTATGAAAGTTCGCCAAGCATCACACAACATATCCACCTTATCATCCTACCCTATAGATGTGTGGTATGAAAAATCATCAGCCCGGTGCGGGGTGAAAGTGGTAGTCTAATGGTAACTACGCAGATTAGTTATTTGAAGTTGATAACAACATGATGTACAAAAAATAACCACCTATTGCTGGAATAAGAATTGCTATCAAGCCCCCGAACAGCATTACCATCAGATTAGCACATCTGACAAAGCACATAAGAAGTTCTAAAAAATTTGAAAAATTTGAACTCTAGTGCATATGTACTATGACTTATGAAATTTTCGCAACAGTATAAGCCCTTGCATTAGTTCAAGTACTGTGAATAGCAAACGACAACGTCTTCTAGTACTAACTAGCAAAAAAAAACAGTGCCGAACTAACCTTTGTGGCCCATGATGGAATTTGAAAACGTGACTGTATAAGTCTTTCTGACAAAATCTTTCCAGCTTGCAACGTTTGCCTCAAGACATCCATGCCTGTGACACCCTGGTTCATGGGGTTTGGATATTTTCTCCATGCAGCGTTCACGACTGTCTCCCAATCATGTCTGAAAAAAATAGATATATAAAATTAAGAAAATCGAGAATACCAGAAGAACTTACTCGAATACGTGTTCCGAAGTCCAAATCTTCATTACGAGTGTTGCCTACGGATTCGCTAGCTATATATCTGAAACAGATGGGACTGATGAAGCTGGTCAGGCTAGACGATGACGAAAGTAACGAAAAACAACAATTGTGTGTACGATGAAACACACAGACAATGACTAGGAGCAAGCGAGAAAATCGATAGATATCGCAGTCACTTTTTCTCTCCCGACAGACGCTGCCTACAAAACGTCATTGAACTTTGCACCCACGGCACACGGAAGCAGTCAGATACGAAAGTTTGACGACAATAAATGCAAGAGAAGTCTTCAGAGAGCTAGGAAACATTGAAGCGGAGCTTAGCGCTCATTCGGTTTCAAGCTAGAAAAACATGTTGAAGCAAATATACTCCATTACCACGAGTATAGAAAGGTTAGGCTGCAATGATAGGCTATCCTTCCATTTAATGTCTTGATTAAAGATAAAGTAAAAGCTCGGAAAACAACGAAGATTCATAAGTTTCCTAATTCCTTGGTAGAAATGGGGATTTCAGAATTTTTGCAGGTGAACATTATATATGAAAAGATTACATTCTCATACAAGAAAAACAAAGCAATCTTTTCTCATCAGGTTTACCAAAAACATAAGTTTTTCCAGTTTTCCTCCTACAGATCTTGCAATCGGTGTTTTCATTTCAATGAGAATCCCTTGAAATTTTTGTGATACTAGAATGTAAATACTACTTAGACATGCCTAGGTAATACTTTGGACCTAGGTCTTTTTCATTTACTCGACTATTCCAATAATAAAATAAATCAATTTCTTGAATATTCGAGTTTTCTAGTACGAATAAATCATTAGAATATAAATATTCGAAAATTATTCGGTCCAAAGTATACCACCTAGATCAAGTTTCAAAAGACGGGATATGACTACATAGACAAAAAACGCTAGAGAGCATAACTCTACACAACATTCTCCCACTCTCTACCCCACGCTACGAGTGCTTTTTTGCTCTAGTTCCGCTGCAAAAGCAGATAAGCGAAAAATTCGTTTGAGAAACGATGCCCATCGATATTCTGCGCCCATCAGTAACGATGGGGATCAAGAGTGCTCAAAAATGTTGATAATTCGACATTTTCCTGTATCTGTACTGAGACAAGTACCGGGTTCATCTCCAGATCACACCCAGTAATGGACAGCGAGATTTGATGAGCTTCAATGACCATGCTCTTGCTAATCATGATAGAATTTCCTGGAGACGTAAATTTAAAGGCAGAGGACGAGCATAGAAGGGAAATAGTCGAGCATACTCAATGCGATCAGACAATCATGTCGCATGAACGATAATGATGCGGCGCTGACGATCTTTGCGTCTCCCCAATTCCCGTTTACATAAACAAGCAAGATGACGTGTGCGTTCGATCGTCTGATCTTTGTGTGACGAGACAACCACTTGCATCAAAGATCGGATCAACAAGAAAGAGAAATCCAGTAACTGGGTTTGCGCGACACTCAGCAATCGGCAAAGATTCTTTGCCAGATTGGACTATGATCCTCGAAAAGGAATCTGAGAAGTGAAACTGGAAAAACTACTGAAGACAAAGCCTGCACTATGACTGAGTTTATGATTCAGAGAGTTCAGCAAACACTGCGGCAAACTTCGACAAATTACCGCAGAGCTGTACGCATTTCAAAAAAGCGACAAGCCACATTGCACTCCAAATGGATCAAAGCGGAACGAAACACATCAAACGGGATGACGCTATTAAAAAAGAGTGGAAACTCGAGGCCGAGGCCGACAGCGGGGTTAACAAGGTCGCGAGAAGTGCGACGGTGGTTGCCCAGCTGCAACGCACGTGAAGGAGGCGGAATGTTCGCGAAGGCAAGATGCACGGCTCAACGGTAGATGTAAGAATTGTTCAAGAACTTGTAATAACGGTAGAAGTAAAACTTGCAAGACATGTAGAGTGTCAAAAAAAGCCAAATCATCTGAAAAAGCAAAACAAAGGAAGTTTTACATTACACTGCTTGATCAGCTACTTGGCAGCTTTCGCAATGAAGGATGGAAGTGCTTACATAAAGGAGAAACAAAGAAAACGAACGCATCATACAAAACAAACTGGCAACAAACGTCATAGAATCTTGGGAATGCCCCGGAGAAAAAACCAGACCACCCGCGAGAGAAGCACCAGACGCATGTGACTTCCCCTCAGACACTCGCACCGGCCGGCGGCCGTCCGACGACGGCCTTCCGGCCGGCGGCCGTGCCAACTTTTAGGGCGGGGCTAAACACCGGCCGGCGAGCGGACGATATGATCGTGCCGGCCGGCGGCCGTTCGAGTGTGCAAAAACACAAGCAGCGCGAAGGCAATAATCTATAAACTCATACCGCGAAGTTATAGATTGGTCCCAAAGCATGCCTTATAACTTTGGATGTAGTTTACGAGGCTTTTGGTTCATGGGTTGGATAGGTGGCTGGATCTCTTCTCCTCTTCTACCTCGAATATGGAATCATCTTACAGGTAAGAATAGCTATAATGAAGTTGATTTCTATTAACATCTGTGTTCAAGGTGGTTTTGCTGGAAAAAGCAAATTCAAAGGGTCGCTGAATGTGGTTGGCGTCTCAGCTTCTACGTTTGCGCTTGGATAGCAGGGTAAGGATTTCTCTGGCTTTTTATTTCTACTGATCGAATCACTCTTTAGTTTGACGATATTAATGGGAGAGCCACAACTAAAGGACGTATCTGAATGTTGGCGGGGTTGGCCTCATCATAATCTAACGACAGCAGTTTGGTGGTACTATATATTGGAGGCCTCTTTCTACTGGGCATTTTTTATTGAGTTCGTGAGAATTTGTACATCCAGCAGTCTTTTTGCGAGAATCTTCTTTGCATTGCATTCTTTTCAGAACACTTTGTGTCGATGTTCGCAGAGCAGACTTCTTGCAAATGTTGCTGCATCATGGAATCACTATTTTGTTACTTTACTTAAGCTGGTCTATGAATATGGTCGGTGTTGGTAAACTGGTGCTTTTCGTTCATGATGCTGCAGATATCTACATGTTAGTAATTTTTTATGCTTTTGCCATAGCTTACCCAAACGTGGATGATACAGAGAAACATCGAAGATTGCCCGATACGCTAGATGGGAGACAACGCTGAACGTCATATTTGTGATATTTCTTGCCGTATGGACCGGCACGCGCCTCGTCTACTACCCATTCTGGATTATGCGATCAAGCTGGTTCGACGCTCCGGAAATGATTCAGGTGGTGTGATTTTAGGTACTGTGTAGGTATTTGAGATGCTAACTTCACTAGATAAAGGAGTAGTACGCATATCATTTTTTCTTTTCTTGTTTCAGTCGTCTTATCGCTGGACAAACTTATGGCAACGGCCCTTGGTACCCAGAGTGTCGATGGTAATGCTCTCCGCACTCCTTGTACTTCACGTGTTCTGGACTTACGTTATACTAAAAGTAAGTTGTCATTCATTTACTTTTTTCTTTATAACATATAGGGCTACATGTTCTGTTTTGTTCTGTATATGTTCTGTATACTGCCCTACTGAAGTTTTTGAATATGCTTTATAGACGTCTGAATATAAGTGAATTCGTGGTGCAAAAGTGCCTTTCTTGTTGTGAGACCCATACATCGGGAGGTAAGATGAACTTGCTTTGTTCTCGACATGTTTACACTTATTTCAGTATTCCTAAAGGGTAAGGGTGTACTTTAATAGATAGATAAGTGATTTTCATGATGAGACTTTTGTTTCTAGGGAATTAACGATGTTGGAAAATCGTATGTTGACAGAATGACCCTTAGCAAATGGGTATTTGTATGTCTCCTTTTCAAACCATCTGCTCTAAAGTCTGGCTTCATTGAAATACGTCAAATTGCCGAGTACTATTTCCGCCATGAATGGGTAAGTGATTCAAAAATGAAGCTTATTCCATCATCACCGTCTCTTTCAGGTGCTTCAATTAGGGTTAGGTTGAACGACAATGTTTTGGACGCATGTCACTCCTATCGTGCGGCCTCATCGGCAATTAGCAGTCAAGTTGATTTTGCTGAAGCTAAAGACATGGCAAGTTATCACTACAATGCTCTATCAAAACTGAACATTCGGCAGGTATGTCAAAAATTTTCGACAATTTCTGTGATAGTTATGTGCTCATCCATCTCAGTTTGCTTCTCAATTACACATTCTTGAGTGGTGAAACATTTTTTACTTTGGAGTTTCCATGTTGCCATAGTTGTTATTTCGATTCCACATTATACGCGCTTTTCTGTTGACTTTAACGGCAGTCGTGTCGAAACTCTGGACTATTAATTTAGTCGGGAAAGTTTTGAGCTTCGTTCCTACTTCTAGGGCAAAATCTCCCCCAACGACTTTGATGCTCACTTTGATCCGTTTCATCTCGCAATAGAACTCTTCGTTGCGATGGTTGATTTTGCATACTTGTAAGTACGGTCACATTCGGTTTCTTGGACATCTACTGAATAAGACTTACATTACCGGTTTGGGTAAAGTTGAACTCGCAGGAAAACATACTTTTGCCTCACGCTGTAATGATGCAAAATATATTTGCTGTAACAAACTCAGACAATAAGTTATTTGCAGAAAAGACTACTTCGAAGAAAGCAGCATCTTATCTCTCCACAGTTCGACGCGCAATCTCTGGCAATCACTTTCTTGCTTCCTAAAGTGGATTCTTTTATACCGTATTTAGATTTATATTGTTGTCGGTTGTCCCAAGTTTTGCCCGTTTTATTCATCGCTCACTCAAACTCACAAAACAGCAGTCCTTACGGTTCATCCGTTCTAGATCTCTATTTTCTTTCTCACAACTATATTTGCTCTCTGATCTAGTCTTTACTATGTTAATGTCATGGCTTTTTGATTAACTCAGCAGTAATGCCAAATATTTCCTGAATTCACAAATGTGTCTCATTACGTTTTGGAAGAGGAGTAAGTGCTGTATAGAGCAAACCATTGTCAAGAACGGGAGGCGTAGTATCTATTTTCTAGATCCTTCAAAATGGCTGGATCAGATATCACCCTTAGTGAGCTTACCCTGACCTGTTTTCCTAGGAAATCTTTAAAGAGGGATTATTTGCACTTATCGGTCCTAAGGGCGCCAATGCTGTCCATTGCAAGGGTGGGGATTGTGGTTCACCAGGTTGGTGAGGTGTGTAAACGCATCAACGGACGTGAATTCCTCTACAAGCACTCTGATCACGTCATGGCGGGTGCCACCCGGGCTTTCCAGTAAATGCCCGATGAGTATATTTTTCCGGCAATAACAAGCCTGGAGCTGAAATTCGAAAGAACATTACCGCGTATGTTCTATGCTCAAACACTTACAAGGCTTGCTCATGCGTCTGTGTTATGCGAATCCTATGTTCTTGTTGCAGGCAACTATCCTCTATTTTACATCCTTTAGGAATATATATCCCATCATCAATTGGTATTCCAACCGGTAACCTTGAACCAATCAATCATTCATGAAACGCTTCAACTAATGTGAATCGGGCAAGTAGTACCCTCGCTATTTTTTCATTACCCTCAATAATGAGTCAATGAAAAAATTACTGTCCTTCGTTGAAGCAACGATTTAGAGGAATTTAAACAATTACCTTTGAATCGCTTACCTTCGTCTATGTGTGTTTTCTATATTAGCTTTAAGCGCCAGCATGGCTGGACTACCTTCACAATGATCCAAAAAGATATTGCGCACTTTTTTTGATAGTAAGTACCTGTATGATATCTTTAAGCATATTCTCATATTACGCTAGCTATCTCAACCTTTCGATCATTTGTATGGAGCTATTGCTAGTCGACTGGTTTATTTTGATCTGAAGCCTGCGATGGAAACTTTCAAACGGGGCGGAAGACCATTGATATAAAGACCCGTACTTCTCCAATTCCTCCATCATACCGTGGTCGAAAAACCACTAAATGAGTAAAGGACACGTCTTAGTATATGCTCGTAATGCACTAACATGGCATTTCATTGTAAATACTTCTGGTGCAAGCTCCGACCATATTTTCCTCGTTCCCCTCGCCACAGACTGCGCAATCCTTATGATGTCAACGTTTAGCGACTTGCATTGGGCCATGGTTCTCAGACAGAACCAGTAGCCCAATATCGAAGTCGCAGCTACTGGAGACGAGATCATTCCACCGGCCACCACCAGTGGAAAAATGACAAATGCCAGCTAAAAATTCTCATTATCTCTTTCTGTATGCGCCAAATCTGTTTTAAAAACTCTATATCTGTTTGCATGCATGGATGTGTGGGCGCGAGTATCATTTTCCATACAGAAAACTGCCCTTCGTATGGGCCATTCTTTCTTCGTTGCCCAAACATACTCGTATCATCCCTACAGACAGATATAGAGCTCTTACTTAAGCACTTATTACCCGTTACCAAAAGAAGACTGAATTATCTAGTGAATACATGGGTACTCGTTTAGCGCAAGGCCAGTGGAGGCGTGATCAACAGGAGAACAACATCGGATGACATACCATTCGACGCAAACATGCCACAAGAGGAACATTGATTCGCACTCCAGCGATTCGTGAGCAGTTCATTCTCGGACTTCATGTCACGCTTTAATAATTCCTTACTTATATGTTTAGAATTTTATTCATTTTTGTGCTCAGTCTAGTTTTTGTTTCTAGAGGATGATGTTAGAGTTTAAGTCTGTCTATTGTTTTCGCTATTCGTAATGAATTCCATAGATGTTAGGCGCACTCACTTCTTGACATGCCTGTCTAATGGTCAAGAGTAGTTTAAGTGTATACTTCAGTTGTTGGGTTTTGGCTTGATGTAAACGCAGAAACAGCAGCGGATGAAACTTCATAGGTGTGGTTTTTTATAGACGTGTTCATGTTGAATTTCGGTATAAACCCCACTTTTTCACGAAACTTTGACTTCGCTATGCCTTGAGCCAAAGAAAAACCATTTTGGGCTTTTTTGATCCAAGAGAACCGGGCTATATGACCGTTAGCAGGCATGTCTCACTCTATGTTGCCTCTTACCAATGATTCCTATTTCGCCTTACCCTCTCGATTCCACATTTGATCTCATCATATAGGTGGATTCGATAAACTTGTGAATTGATGTCAATGCGCATTGCGCATTCAAATTGTTTCCCTGTTTTGTTCATTTGTATGATTTTAGATGCATTATGTGTTGTATTTCTCATGATTGTTGCATTCTAATAGCTACTGTTTAGATAAGGATTCAAATGAAGAGATTATCATTTCAATTTGTGAAATTTGGTGAACAGACAGAACGATACAACAGAAAACATGAAAATTAGAGAATGAATAAGCAAAAAGTATGGTCCAGAAGTGGTTGGGTAGCCTAGAGCGTGAAAGCGGTGTCGAATTGCCGCGCGCGACGTTTTCTTTGCCGGCTGGCGATCTAGCCATCTCCGGCCGGCGACCGTTCCATGACCGGCTGGCGAGCGAGCACGTACGGCTGAGACGGATCCCGATGTTCCGCCAGCCGGTCATGGAACGGTCGCCGGCCGGTGCGAATGTCTGACCGGCCGACGACCGTTCCATGACCGGCTGGCGAGCGCGCCACGAACGGCTGAGACGAACACGCTGTCCCGCCAGACGGTCGTCGGACGGTCGCCGGCCGGTGCGAATTTCTGACCGGCTGGCGTCCGGCCCGCGACCGGCTCGGCCGAAATATCGGTGATGTTCCAGACGCTCGTCGGACGGTCGCCGGCCGGTGCGAGTGTCTGAGCCGTCGGATGATGGGCAGAGACGCAATTCCACTCTTTATCGTGCTCCAACTCTAATATGTGACCCATGACAATTCTAACCCTTTAAATGTTGTCCTCGAGACGGAAATTTGACGTTTTTTCCTTACAGCAAAAGGCACCCGTTCTGTTTCATCGTGTAACTTTAATTGTGTATTCTCATTTTTTTTAATCACTGTCGTTTTGTGGAGGTTTTGAGTTTGAGATGTTGGCTTTATTGTAAGTTTGGTGTCTGGATTTTTTTGTTACATGTTTGAATAAATACCAACAACATGAACTTGCATCGTTTGCGGGTGGTTTTGAACTTTTTTCCTAGTATCGGATTTAATTTTTACTTCGACCGTCTTGCCATAAAATGATTTTCTACTTCGTTGCAAATTCTGAGGACTTCCAGGTAAAATGTCTTGGTTTGGTTGGGGAAAATCATCCGATAACAGTCAATCCAGCCATGTGGAAACGCCGAGCGCCCCCATGGATCTCAGTGGTGGTGGTGGGCCATCATTCGATATTAATGACACTATGACTTCACAGGTATGTTTCTATCATGGAATGCCGCCACTTTTGGTGATGCATAGAAGTTGGATTGTGAAAGAGAAGGAGACAGTTTGTGTCGGTTTTAGCCAGCCTCCACCGCTGATCAGTCACCATTCTCTACCCCTGTTTTAGCTCTTGACCAAATCAAGAGTGCCGGAGTCCCAGTTACTCGACAGATGACACCCTACTTACAGGTTCGCTTTGAAAATTGCGGGTTTTGTTTTTTTACTTGCTGGTAATATCTTTCACACATTGAAACTATCAGATGGATCCTACTATGTTCATTTCGTCACAACCACAATATATCATGCCTGATGGCGGTACAGGCACATCAGGCAAAGGGAAGTTCGAGTTCGCGTTAGGACATATTGGATGGGCTGTTGGAGGAGGCTTTGCTATCGGTTCAATAAGGGGTGCTCTAGGAGAGTTGGTCAATCCAGAAACACGAAAACTGGTATGTGTTCCTTTTTCTTCCTCCACTATTTGATATCTTTGTGCTGTTTTTTATACTTTTTGGATATAATAGATTTGAGGTGGGAAAGCCATGGCTGACTCGTATGGTGAATGCAACAGTCAAGCACGGATCAGGATATGCTCAACCAGCTGGTTCGTTGAGTTACTTTTATTTTCTTGCGCACAATTTCTCTATTAATCAATTGATCCGATTGATTTCGCACCTCAGTCTTAACAGGTTTACTAAAGCGCTCTCTCCATGCAGACCATAGCACGATTGCGACTGCAAAATATTGCTTTTGAAGGGAGAAGACAGCTCCAGAAGTCTGAACAGATACGCCCCTCACACCCTCGTCCTTACCGGAGCAGGAAGTCGTGGCGGTGCCTTGCTGCAGCCATTGACAGCCTCGCTCGCAGCACGATTTCCTGTTTCGGTGACGAGACTGTATCGGGAGGGGTATTTTGCGATCGCGACCGGACTGTGGCTCCAGCTTCATCGAAGCACCCGTCATACTTCGCCGAAAGAGGCCCAAAAAAGTCCGAAAAAGCTCAAAAAAGCCTCAAAACCCCGAAAGAGCCGAAACGCCGAGTCTTTCTGCTTCATTTTCAATCGCCTGCACATCAAAATAATGTCAGAATTCTAAAGTTTGTTTCTGCGTCCCGGCTCTTTCGGGCTTTTTCGGGCGCTTTTGGGCTTTTCCTGGCGAAGCATGACGGGTCCCTATCCTGTTGAGAAAAAGCACGTGGTAGTAGCCACGCTCTTGGATTTGTTTTTAACCTAGTTCGTTTTGCGCTATCCGGATGGAAGTTCTTCGTGCTCATTCATCTTTTTTTTTTCATCTCTCGAAGGCACCATTTCTTTTATCAAGCATCGTTTGATTCTTCGATTTAGACGCATACTTTAAAACTTTGATTGTTCGATCTTATAGAAATTCAGTGAAAAAGTTTTTCTCATGTGATTTGCTTCAACTGAGATTTTGAACTTTCTACTCATCTTGATGTAGTTGAACATTTTTTTTCTCATACTTACCCTCTCTTATAACTCAAATATCAAAATTGGTGTCTTTTGCTAAAATAAGGAAAATAGGAAATGTGAGATAGTTTTGTTTTTTTAGAGGTTTTTTTCCAGGAAAAACCTAAATTGGCGCAGAATGCAATGCGAACTGATTTGATTACGTTTAGGAGCAGTTGTATTTATGTACTCTGCTTTGGAGATTGCTCTTCGTTCTGTACGAGCTGAGGACGAGCTTAATGGCCTGGGTGCTGGTGCCCTCACAGGAGCTATTTATCGCAGTCCTTACGGCCTCCGAGCTAGTGGGATAGGTAAGACAGATTTTGGAGTAGTGTAGTAGATTTTGAAATAGTCCAGTAGATCCGATGTAATAGTGACTTGCGTCCCCGCGAAGTGGCGTAGAGCTTTACAACCATTGTGCAATGCAGTCGGTAACGCATTAAGTGGTCATTGAAATTACTGGACTATATTGGATCATCTTGAGCTTAGATTTTTTCAGTATTCTTCCTGCAGCAGAGATCACTTGTTTTAGGCGCGCTAGTCGGACTGGCTCTTTCAGCTGCATGGACCATAGCTAATCCAGACAGCAGGCAACGAATTCGGGAAATCTTTGCTTGAGCAGGCACACATCCACTTACCCAAGCTTTCTCATTTTTTAGTTTAGGATAGAACTGTATTCATCTTAGATGACTTCCTTGTTCATGATGATTGTACGTATAGAGGCGACGTTGCTGTTGTTGTTATTTTTTGTTCCTGTTAGCTGACTACTGAAAGAGTAAAATTGACTCGACTTCTTGTTCTCGACAAGATTATCCGAGTGAGAACCAATTCTGCATCATTATGTTCTCCTCAAAATCTCTTGCAGTGAGGAAAATTCTTTCATCGTGATCGATTCGCAATATATGTTTTACTGCCCAGAGGTGAAACAGCCTGCGAAATCTGTTAGTTTGTGTGATACACATCGCCTCTTTCACATGATGGTGTGGGTCCGGTGAATCATAGATTTTTGACTAAATCACTGTTGACGCCTTTTGCTAGAGATGAAGCGAGTTGATAGCTAAGTGAAACCAATGTTTTACCTAAAGTTTGTCCGAACTTGCCGTTGTCTTATCCACCTTTTTCTAGGTTCAGCTGAAAGCATATGTATTCGGATGTCAGGTGGACTGGAGACTAGAGCAAGACTAGAGCTCACATTTTCAGTTTACCACACTCAGTCTCAAGTATGCAAGTGACAGAACTACTCCTTTAATATCACATGGAGAACATCTACAAGATAAACCATAAGATGAACCTATTTTCCGCAGCATTCCAAACTTGAGTGGCCCTGGAATCTTATGTGAATTTCTTTGAAAAATGCTAACTAGCCAGGGCAAGCGGCAATTCACACGATTCTTTTGTGGCCAAGACGTTCATCTCAACTTCCACACAAACCGTGCTGACCAGTGGAATGAGGATAAGCTGAATGATTCGCTTAAAGAATACGGTTTGGGCGAGACTTTAGAATTGGGTTTCTCGGTCGAAACCAAACATATGAACTTCCGCTTAGGCACTGAGTTGAGGGCTCCAGTCAGTATTTGCGTTGAAATCCCGGTAGTTTTCGACTAATCCGGACATCCTTTAAGTTGGATGAGGACTTTCCCGAGCTTCCCACTTTATAAGGATCATTCAAAAAGTTACAAGCTACCTATGGAGATATTTTAACACGCAAAACTCAGGCGATTTTAGTTTAATTATCTGGAACGAGAGAATATAAGTTTGAGATGTCATGCATCTTGAGCGCGGCGTTTCCAAGTCTTACTTTTCCTGACAATGACCGGATATAGTATGGGAGAGATTCTAATCACTTTCGCCTTTTATTGGTCAGTTTTCTTTCAAAGATTGAATATGTTTCGCGGCTTGCTCTTATGTCTGGCGCTGCAAATGTAGACCTTGGATCAGTTATTAAATCCACTTGTCTATCTATTCTAGACTAATTTCCCTGTTCAGGTTTTCTACGTAGATCACTGAACACATGTTGTTCCAAATTACGGGTATAATAGTAAAAAGATCCCTTCAGTACCACTGTCTAACACTAAAGCATTGAGTTGAACTAGGATTTGTTTCTAACCAAAGGGAATAATTATACACCTCCATTAGATACTTAGGCGCGATGCTTCTTTGCCTCACCATTAATTAACTACATAAATGGCAAGCTCCAAAAAGTTCTTACAAAACGCGCGAAAATGAAAATTGATGTCAAAATATTTGGCTTGTTATAACGCAAATTTATGATACGAATTTGGACCGCATTCTTGCGAACATTAGCAGGTGAAAATCTGTTTTATGTGAAGTAATGCCTATAAAGGCTTCAGACCAATTCATGTGGCTACAAGGGCTCCTTTTACATCTGAGTTGACTTGGAACATGAATATGGTAAGGCATTGCTATTCTATTCTTTGCTCCATGGGAGATTCTTTGCTTTTCGTCCTGAATATGCTAAACTTCATTTCTAACTCAACAGGAAATGGTCAGAACTCAATGCAGCCGTACCATATATGCTGTATATAATCGGTCTCGTCTTGAAAGATCACAAATGAATGTTCATTATCTGCCAAGCGACTATCCGGAAGGAGTTATGAGCGTTTGAATGTGCGATTTGTCAAGTGTTCTGTGGCGCATGTCACGAAGTAGGTTTCAAAAAACTTTTTTAGGTTTGGTAAATGTGCTTCTTCCTTATAATTAAAATAACCACAGCCACTGTAAATTCGCGCCATCAGGCTGCCTTTCAAGAAAACATATTCATCGAAACTTGAATTCTTGAATTTGAATGCTCATAGCTTCTCTCCTACAGTCGCTTCGCAGATAAAAAACATATGTTTGAAATCAGCGTTTTAAGACGAGTACGATATACAACTTGTATGACTGGGTTAAGTTCCGACCATTTCCTCGCTAGCACTTATTGTTAAATTCCGCCTTCCGCTCAATGATGAAGTTAAGCTTTTGAAGGAAAGATCTCAGTTGGTTGTGTTTTTAAAATTATCTTCTGTCATTGCGCATATGGAAACTGGCTGAAACAGTTGAAACAAACTCCGTAAAATCTCTGCGAAGTCTAGGGGGGGGGGGCATCATTCCTTTAAACCCCCGAAGCCCTTGTACCGGTCCCTGGTCAGTGGGAGAATCATGTTCTCTCAAAATTAAAAAAAAAGTTTTTGTTTGTTTCCCAGCACTGGTTGTGATTCACCGCTTAAAGATCTCGCCCCGAGTCTTCGGCACAGAATCCAGCACTCCCGCGATTGTCTCTTTTCTAGTCCAAATCTACATTCTTAGGAACTAGTTGCATGGATTATGTACGCCTTAGGGAAGATAAGCTGGCGAGCTCCAGAAGCGCATACCGCTCACCATCTCACAAGACATGATATGCGTGAACCCATGGCAAAATTTTGAAGTGGAGTGATTTAGACGTTGATTTACTTATGCTGGCCACTGGATTCGCGCTGACTAAAAGATCGGTAGTACAGTGCTGTACATAACTATAGAGACACTCTAGAAATCGTCGCAAATTGCGTTCTTGTTGAAAAACCTGTCCGAAACTTTGCTGTGTGGTGCGCATGCTAGCCTACCATGATCTCAAAACGGCTTGTGATCTTGTTGAGTTCGAGCGTAGAAAAATAGAAAAAGTCAAAAAATCCCTTACCGAAGGTGAACAAAATTATAAAGCCATATGATTTTTTTTAACACTGTTGCATCCCTTGACTCCAAAATTTTTTTTGTACAGTTACATGCTAAAATATGAAATATCTGCAATCTGAGATCTGTCATCCTTCTCAAAGAGAAATGTTCACTGCATTTTTTGCTTACAAAAGCATCAAAAGTGAATGTGCTTCAACATACAGCTGGTTTGAAAAGTTTTCAAGCTCCAATTCTTTTCAAATAATGGTCATGAAATTCACTGAGCTTTTTCGGTAAACGAGGTGAAGAGTGCTTTCGTAAACTCTGCGTAATCGCTGATACGGACGGACAGACTCCAACCTCAGTAGCGTTGTTACACTTTTACTCCACAAAACTCTTTTTGCAGTGTTCATGAAGTGCTGGACTTGATTTATTACATTGCTTTGGTGATGCAGCTTTCGCAACAACTTTCAGATTTTCCCTAGTGTTGTAGTCGCGATTCAGACGATAGAGAGTTTTCCCTCCGTTTCATGTTAAATTCTACCCAAAGAATGATTAGCTAAGATTTTGAAATTTTGAGCGTTCTCCTGTTCTATCTCGTGATCTGAGTTGGCTATGATTATGCAGGGTGCTCGACACACTCAACATTCAGTGGATGACAGCTACGGCAGACGATAATGCTGACTTCGACATTCTTTCTCAACTATGCAGCTAAGTTTATTGTTGTATAGCCGATTTCTACATTACTGTATTATAAGGTTGATTGAAAACTGAGTTGCTCAAAACCGTGACAACAAACCTATGTGGAGACTGGAGCTGTCCGTCCATATCAGCGATTACGTAGAGTTTACAAAAGCGTTCTTCACCTCGTTTACCGAGAAGGCTCAATGGATTTCATGACTATCATTTTAAATGGACAAGAGCTTGAGAACTCCTCAAACCAGTTGTATGTTGAAGCACATTGCAGAAAAAGATCGTTTCTCTTTGATAAGGATGACAGGTCGCAGATGTTGCAATGATATTTTAGTATCTATCTTCTCGTAGCTAGTCCTTTCGGTAGGGGCGCTTACTGTACAAAAAGTTCTAGAGGAGGGATGCGATATTGTTAAAAAAGAACCCCATATGGCTCTAAAATTATGTCCAACTTTTGATAGGGGCTTTTTCGAATTTTTCTATTTCTCTCCGTTCGAACTCAACAAGATTGGAAGCCTTTTTGAGGGGTCATGGTAGGCTAACATGCTCACTATACAGCAAAGGTTCGGACAGATTGATCAACAAGAACGCATACGACAATATCTTTACAACCAGGGTCTTAAATAATTATGTTCAGCACTGTATACACCCTGATCAAAAAGGAAATAATCTCAGCATGCCTCGACCACAATAACAGACATTACAGTTGAAAACGATTGAATTTTTTTGAGCGAAAATCCAGCGGCTTCTGGCGGCTTAAAGTGTTCATAAACTGGCACCAAAATTTGCATGTATTCCCCTTTTGCAAACCTTCAAATATTTTTTGCTCTATCAGTTGGTACTTTTTGTGCATTTTTCGAGTTTGTATTCTTGTTCTGCCAAATGGCATTCTTTTCCTTCTGACATAAACTATTTTGATTCAAGCTCCCATCGTGATCGTATGTAGCAATTTCCACCGAGCACATAACACTATTATACTTCTGCACCGAATTTGCCTCCATAAATTCACCAGTTAAAGGCAGTAGAAAATTTCATTCATATTTGTTCTTGTCCCTTACAATGGAACTTCTCACGTCAGCAAAACTACCATAACAATAATTTCAAGTAAGCTGTCTTTATGAGGAACGATTTCAATAGGGCAACTGCTCAACAAGGATCACTTGTACCCATCGCCCTTTAGACGGGAGAGAAATAGGAAGTGCCGAAATACGCCTATAATATTCGTTCTGAGGAAACCAGCATCTAACTCATAAATAAACATCCTTAGAGTGAGCTGAATTACCCAGTGGAGGCCGGACATTAGAGCCCTCAGCTTTATGCAGAAGAAGTACCAGCCAAAAAGACTTGGGATTCAAAGAGAGCATGGCAGTTGCAGCTGTTCCCTTGATATCGTTTGATGCTGAATTGTGTCATGTCCGTTCTATTGTGCTGTGAAGTGTCGTGAACATGGTAACGACCTATTCACTTATAAAAGAAGTGCAGATGGTCT